CGAGCTAAAAATGGCAGCCCAGGAGGCTGGGCTGGGGGAGAACTCGTTGTAATCAAAGCTTCAGCCCTGCCCGTGCTCAACTCAGCTTCAGGAGGAATCTCGATGATCAGCTTACAGGAAAGGCTTGCAGGCTCTGGGAAATCAATCAATCAATCTCTCTCTCTCTCTCTATATATAGATGTATGGGTGTGGGTGTGGGTGTAATTTTTTGGTTCCACTCTTTTGTTATACATGATGTCAGAATGCAATATAAAAAATATAAGACACAGTAATAAAGCAGAAAAATGTTATGCAAAATCAAGAGGAAAAGAGCCAATTAAAATAAACCTATAAATGATACAGTTATTGGAATTATTAGATAAGGACTTGAAACAGATATTATAAATGTGTTAAAGGATTTATATGAGAAGGTGGATATAAAGAGTAAATATATGAGTTACTGCCTAAAAGAAATTGAAAGTCTGAAAAAGAACCAAATGGAAATTCTAGTGCTGAAAACCACGATATATGAAATTAAAAATTCATAGGATGGGCTTGAAAGGAGATTGAATATTGCAGAAGAAAGGATGCTAATGTTAGCCAAAGGGGACAAATTTCCAGTTATAAGTGGAATAACTTCTGGGGATCTAATGTACAGCACGGGGACTAAAGTTAACAATACTGTATTATACACTTGAAGCTGCTGAGAGTAGATCTTAAGTGTTCTCGCCATAACAGCAAGAACAACGAAATGGTAATTATGTGAGGTGAAGGATGTGTTAATTAACCTTATTGTGATAAACATTTTGTGATATATACAGGTATCAAATCATCACATTGTACACCTTAGACTTACACAATGTCGTATGTCAATTATATCTCAATAAAATTGGAAATTTAAAAAAAAGATAATAAATTTGAAGGCAGGCCAATAGAAATGATTCAAATGGAATTAGAGAGAGAAAAAATTTAAATGAACAGAATCTCAGAGCCTTGTGGATAATATGAGGCAATCTAACATAGATGTCATTGGAGTCCTGCAAGGAGACAGGAGAGAGCATAGGACAGAAAACATTTTCTGAAAAAACTGATGGTTGAAAACGTTCCCAAATTTGATTAAATCATCAACCCACAGATCCAAGAAGCTCAATTAACACCAAGTGAATAAATACAACAAAAAACACACCAGGGCAAACCATAATCAAATTGCTGAAAACCAGAATAAAGCCTTAAAAACAGCCAAGGAAAAAAGACACATTTCATACAGGTGCGTGTGTATTACTGCCAGGGGCTGGCCGAGGAGAGACAATGCAAGTGACAGCCGACATCTCATCAGAAACAATGCAAGCCTGAAGACAAAGGAACAGCCTCTTTCAAGCGCCTAAATTTAAAAAGATCAACCTACAATTCCATATCCAGTAAAATTTTACAAAAAGTGAAATAAAGATATTTTCAAATAAACAAAAGCTGAGAGAATTTATGACCAACAGACCCACACTATAAGAAACACTAAAGAACTTTCTTTGGGCAGAAGGAAACTTATACCAGATGGATACTCAGATCTATAAGAAGAGATAAAGAGTGGAGTGAATTTGAAATACTTTCTTCCATGTCTTAATTTTTTTAAAAAACCAATTAACTATGTAAAATAAATATAATAAGAATATATTGTAGGGTTTACAACATATTTACAAGTAAAATATATGACAAAAATAACAGCACAAAGGATAGAGGCGGGTGTCAAAGCATGCTGATCTCGGGTTCTTACACTGCACACGAAGTGCTATGACACTGATTCAAGGTAGGCAGCAACAAGTTAAGGAAGCATGTTGTAATTCCCAAGAGTAGAGGTTCTTGAAGTGTGGTCAGAGTATTCTTCAGGGTCCCCAACTCTCTTCCAGGAGTACACAAAGTCCTCCCTTTTCCAACCACATATCTTTGTAAGCCTGGATTCCCTTCCTATTCTTCCACCAAAACAACAGATCGAATACAGATGATTTGAGAAGCTGAATGTTTTTTATGAAGCCAGACATTAAAGAGATTCACAAAAATGTACAACAATTACTACGCGTCTCAGTAAATTTAGGGGAGGGAGAATATAGTTACAGTTCATGAAAATAGGTTATTTATGCTGCCATGTAATGAGCATATTACTGCTTTTAAAATGAACTAATAGATATTTTTTAAATTTATCATTTTAAATTTCTAATGGGAGTAAATATTAATAAGTATAAGCCACATCAACAAAAGTTAGAGTCCACAAAAATTTTTAAGTTGAAAAAGGATCCTGAGCTCAAATTTTGAGAACCACTGCTCTAAAGGAGTAAAGTATTTAAAATTAATCCAAAACAACCAATCAAAATCCATCAGATTGAAGAAAATGTTTAAAAGCAGACAAATACCAAGTGTTCACAAGAATGGGGAGCAAGTATAATTATTCTACAACGCTGAAGGGAGTCTAAATTGGATAAACCTTTGGAGAGTGATTTGGCATATTAAAACCATATATACTGTTTCACACACATCAGACTGGCAAAAATATAAAAGTCCAAGTTTTGGCAACGTGTTAAAATGGAAACTCTTCCACTGCTGGTAGAAGGCACTTTGGAGAACCACAGGGCAGTATTTATTTGGTAAAGTTGAATGTGTACATACTCTACACCCAGCAACCCTATCTTAGCTCTATTCCCTAGATAGATACCCTACACCTGTATTAGGCAATGTATGTACAGGGATGCTCATTTGTAATTGTTAATATTTTTTAAGGAAACAACCGGAAGCACACACTGTTGGTGATCCACCCTTATCCCTTGGGCATTCGCCATTCCTGAGCATGCCAATCAGAGGGCTTTCCCTGCCAGCACCCACAGCTCTTTACCTGAGAGCTTTTTCTGGCCCCCAGAGTCTGCTCAGCCAGTGCTTGGAGCAGATCTGAAGTACCAGGGAGTTAGCTGCTACCCTCCTGAAAACATACAACCAGTGACGACTGGAGTTGATGGCTAAATCCTCCAGTTCTCTCATCACTCATTTGGGGTGAGTGTGAGGTGTGGTCCATACTGTCTCCTGGGAATCACCAGCGGGATTGAGCCTCACTTGCCCCAGCAATAACCTGTCAATAATACACTTTTATTGGTTTCTTTCCCTTAGCTGTCTCATTTTCCCACTTTCCTGTCAATGCTTACTGAATAACCTTGCAAATAAACTACTTGCTCTCACATCCTTGCTTCAGGAGGAAACCAATATTAAGACACAACCTGGGGCCAGCCTGGTGGCACAGCAGTTAAGTGCACACTTTCCACTTCGGTGGCCCGGGGTTCACCGATTCGGATCCCGGGTGCAGACATGGCACCTCTTGGCAAGCCATGCTGTGGTAGACATCCCACATATAAAGTAGAGGAGGATGGGCACGGATGTTAGCTCAGGGCCAGTCTTCCTCAGCAAAAAGAGGAGGATTGGCAGTAGTTAGCTCAGGTCTAATCTTCCTCAGAAAAAAACGAAAAGAAAGAAAGTATATATATATAAAAAAAGATACAACCTACATGCCTTTCAACAGGAAGATAAATAATTTGTGGTATACAATGGAACACATAGTTACAATGCATCTAGAGCTACATGCACCAGTATGAATAAACACTGAAAACATAATTTTGTGTGACAAAAGCAGGTGTGGAATACTAATAACAGTCTAATGCCATTTATGTCACTTGTATTCCTAGCTACTCATGCAGCTGGGGTGTCCATGTGACACAATTCTGGCCAATAAGATAAAAGCACAAGACTGCTAGGGAGGGTGGGAAGCTTTTGTTCTTTTGATTAAAAAAAAGAGAGAGAGAGAGATGTGAGTTGAGACTTCCCTCCCCTCTTCTTCCCATCTTGATCATGAGATGAGGGCTGGAGCTGTAGCAGCCACTTAGTATCCATAAGGAAAAGGTCAAGACAATCACAGACACTTCCGCTGACATTGTTGAACCACTGCACCAGCCCTCCAGACTCTTTGTTATGTGAGGAAAATAAATATAATTTTTTAAAGATACTATTAGTTGGATTTCCTATTACTTGTCGCTAACCACATTTCTAATTGATATCTGCCCTAATAAAATGGAAAGGATAAGTCCTATTAACTGAAGTGCCCTTTGTCTTGTTGGGATGGGAGTGGGAGTGTAAGTAATGGACATGATCTGCAATAGGGTTGAATTTCTCTCCATAAGAGAGTGAGAGGTTTAGAATCGGTGGGATAGAGTTAGTGTAGAGAGAAAGAAGGCAAAGAAGATGGGTGCTGCATGAGAGAAGGGTCAGAGACCACACATGTCCTCCCCAGTGGTGGGTTAGCCAGGAAGGACTTTAGAAAGAGTAGAAATATTGAATGAAATAGAGAATAGCAAAATCTAAAATATTTGCCACAGTGCGTGCGATGTAAACTGCCTCCTCTAACTCCTCACAAAAATCTTCAGTAAAGTCTACACTGCTCACTCCTGCTTTGTGCAAGTGGATTCTGTTTAGGAAATTCAAAGAGACGCTGAGTTCTGCACCCAGGTTATTGATGCAGGGTGAAGCAGAGGATCAGGGGAGTTGACATGTGAGTTATCAAGTCAACTTCACGTGGCTGTTGAAGGAGGCAGGAGAGCATAGTTAGATACAATTCAGGCCCTGGAGTCCAACAAGCTGTGCTGCTAACTGATCCTATGGTTTTAGCAAGTTACTTAGCCTCTCTGGGCTTCAGTTTCCCCATCTGTAGAATGGATACAATAGCAGTATCTACTTTTAAAAATGACGGTAAGGATTCAATGAGATAATACAAATAAAATGACTAGCCCAGGACCTGGCACATGGGAAGTACTCAATAATTGCTTATTATTATAATATCATTACCATTATTGAATTAGAGAAGGGAGAAGGGAGGGATGGAAGAAGAGAAGGAAGGAAGGAAGGAAGGAAGAAGGGAAGAAATGAAGGGAGGGAGGGAGGAAGGAAAGAAGTTAGCTCGTTAGTTCTGTGTTTATTGGATGGGTGGGACCACTCACCGCTCTTTTCCCTTTGACAGCCCATGGCCCTTGTAATTTTGATTCTGCAATGAGAAAAGGAAAGTGATGTAACTGGTTTTGCACAACCATTCTGCCTTCCCAGCTCAACTTCCTGCAGATATTAAAATGCTCAAACCATCAGACTCAACACTGCACAGAGCCTGAGGCATGAAGGTCCAGCCTGGCCAAGTTCTCATTGGTCAATACGTGCCCAGCAACTTGGTCCTTGGAATGAACCCCTAAGTATCCAAGGGCCCACCTCGCTGTAGGCTTGTTCCTCAGGCATGACCAGTATAGTGAGTGTCTGGTTTTCAATGCTCCAAAGGTCCGACCATGAACCCCAGTTTAAGGGCTGATCTCAGCAGGCTCTGTGAGAAGGATCTGAACCTTCTGTTCTAACCTTGAATGTTTGATTAGACCCATCATCCAGAGGGGCTGGGTCAAAGACTCAGAGTAATGTTAAGTCCTTCCACCCAAAATGGACCTTTCAAATCCTCAAAGGATGGTGGGTGTTATTCTGATCCAACCACGTCCAAAACAGTTTGGCTCTCAGTCCTGGTAAGGCAGGTATGAAAAAAGAAATCAAAATTGGTCCTGCGCAGGATGACCTTTGCAGCTTGGACAGACTTGCCATCTGTATTAGTTTTCTATTGCTACATAACAAATTACCACAAACTTAGTGCCTTCAAACAGTGCAAATCTATACCTCCCAGTTTCCACAGGCAAGAGTCTGGGCACAGCTTAGCTGGATCCTCTGCTCAGGTCTTTCAAGGCTACAATCAAAGTGACGGTTGGGGTTATGGTTCTCATCGGGGCTTGAGGTCCTCTTCCAAGATCATCCAGACTGTTGGTGGAATTCAGTTACTTGGGGTTGCAGGACTGAGGTCCTTCTTTACTTGCTAGTTGTTGGCTGGGGACTGCTTTCAGCTCCTAGAGGCCACTTGCAGTTCCTTTCAATGTGACCCCCCTAGGCAGTTCATAACACGGGTGTCACTTTCTTCTAGGCGAGCAGGAGCACGGCCCTCTGACTTCCAACCTGCCTCCTCCAAATCAGCCATGATGGAGTCTTATATAATGTATTATAATCATGGTAATAACTATCCCATCAAATTCACAGGCTCCACCCACACTCAAGGAGAGAATTATATGAGGTGTGCACACCAGGGGTAGGAATCTTAGAATTCTGCCTCCTACACTGTTTTACCTCTCAAAGAGCCAGTGGAAGGGGAAAGAGGATACTGCTTTACAAAACTGGCAGAAGTAAGCCCCCTACACAAGCAAGTGAAATTTTATCCCATTCTTCCATTCAAGCCCCTCCAATTCCCCCAGCACTAGTCAGCATCCTAATCTCTTCAGATTATATCTTTCATACTCTCTCACGTTTTCAGTTCCATTTTCTATATGTTTATTCAGTTGCTCCAGAGCCTTTGGTTGAAAAACTTTTTGCTTCCTAACTAAATTGCATTAGCTTTTCCGTCAAAATTCAATTGACTATGTATATGTGGGTCTATCTTTAGACTCCGTTTTGTTCTATTTACTTGTCCACTTTGATGTCACTACCACACTGTCTTAATTACTGTAGCTTTCTAGTTAACCTTGAAATCAGGTAGCATAAGTCCTCCAACTTTGTTTGTTTCAAGATTGTCTTTGCAATTTGAAGTCCTTTGCCCTTCGATACAAATTTTAGAATCAGCTTGCTAATTTCTGCAAAAAAAAGGCATGTTGGGATGTTTATTGGGATTTTATTGAATCTATAGATCATTTTGGGAAGAAGTGACATCACAAAGTACTGTCTTCCAATCCATGCATATGGTCTATCTCTTCATTAATTTAAGTCTTCTTTCCCTTTCCGCAGTGTTTTCTAGTTTTCAGAATGGAAGTCGTGAATGTTTTTTATTTATTCATAGGTATGTGATTTTGTGATTCTATTGCAAATAGTAGTCTTTAAGTTTCATTTTCCAATTATTTGATGATAGTGTATTGTGGTAGGCACAATAATCCTCCCCCAAAAGATGTCCATGTCCTGATACCCAGGACCTGTAAATATGTATCTGTAGGTGAGGAAGACAATTCCTCTACCCTCTAGGTCCTTCTGGCTGGCCTAAGAATTAAATTGATAGAGACAGAATAACAGGAGAAAATCAAACAAAGCTTTCTAACATGTACACACGGGGAAAAATCCAGGAAAAGTGGGTAACTCACCAGGATGGCTGAGGTCGCCACCTTAAATACCATCTTCAGCTAAAGGCAAAGGAAGATTTTGGGGGTGGGGGGAGTCAGTTATGGGAGTTTACCAGAAAAGCACAGTAAACAAGAGTAAGGTTACTATGCCGATCTAAGTCCTTGCCTTCGGCATTGATAACAGTTTCTAGAGATAAGGTCATCCCCCTCTTCCCGGTACAGAAAGAGAGAGAGATCTTTACAAATGGAGATTTCCCTTACAAATGTAAATGTCTCTTACAAAGGGTAACTTCTACTTGGTTTTCAGAGCTTTTCCCAAGTCTGCAGCTTTTTAAAAAAATAACCAGCCAAAAATAATCCTCATGCCAAAGAGACCTATGTTGAGGTGGCCAATTCTGCTTCCCTACACTACATTACATGGTAAAGGGAAATTAAGGTTGAAGATGGACTTAAGGTTGCTAATCAACTGACTTTAAAACAGAGAGGTTATCCTGGTGGATTATCTGGTGGGCCCACTCGCTTTTTGTTGTGGGAAGGAATTAAAGAAATGGAGGTGACATCCATGAGAGATGGAGCACGGGATAAGAAGCAGGTTGGGGTTGGGGGATCTGGGGTCTAAAGTAATTCATTTCCCTTCTTTGAGTCTCATTTTTCACTCTTAAAATGGGGGAGTTGGCCTGTGCACTCCTAGAAGGCAGGGGCTTCTCTGACTCACCTCTGTGTCCGAATTGGCTAGCACTGTGCTCAGCTAGGAAAAGGCACTAATTAGCGTTTTTTGGATGGATGGATTATGAATGAATGGATGGGTAGGGAACCGGAAGTAAGGAATGAATAGATCTCTAAGAGCTTTTCCAAGTCAGGAAGCCCGAAATTCTGAGCTTTCCCCGGGATCACAGAAATCGCTGAGTACAGCTTAGAATCCTAGAGTTTCGTAAATTTCCCGCCAGCGAGCCAGAGTCCGCTGACTAGCGCAGACTCCGGCGGCGCGCGGCATGCTGGGACTTGTAGTCTTTTCTATGAATTCATCATTTTCTTCCTGAAATTCCTCCGCAAGTACCCCCAAACTTCTGAATCCCTCCGCGGCTCCCCTCCCTCTCTCTAAGGACGATAAAAACATCTGGATCCGGTGGCATGCCTACCTTCGGTCGCGACATGACACGATTCCCCAGGGCCAGATCCAAACCGCCACGGCACCCCGCGCGAGACTGTGCGTCCCGTTGCCAGGGCGACGGAGGGGCGCCCGGATCCGCAGTTCTGATTGGATGAGCCAGGAGCACCTCTCGGCGCAGGACGCAGGCTCAGGAGAGACCCCAGCCGCGGTAAACTTTTGCGAGGGGTGCTGGCGCAGACTCTTCTACTGCCTCAGCCTCTGTTCCCAGCCCCACACCTTCGCAGCCCTGGGGCACACCCGGCGAGAGACTGGCTGCCGCCTCGGGCGTCTACTGCCCAGGGCCTCTTCGAGCTGCATTTCGCTTAACGTAAGAGCGCTGAGTCTGAAAAGTTGTCAGCTTTCGGTAAATACTATGGTGCTAAGTTTTCCTAATCAGTCCCTCACTAAGTCAGCCGGTCAGTTGGTCAGTTCTGCTCTCTCCCAGCCATGCTGTCTAATTCTTAGGCACCAACTCCATGCCAGGACTCACCTCAACGCCTGCAGCAGCCTCCTGACCAGTGTACTCGTGCCCACTCTCTCCCTATCCATTCCAATTCATTCTCCGCACTGCAGTCAAAGAGCTTTAAAACGCAAACCCGATCGTGTCTCTCCTCTGCGCATAACCTGAAGCGGCAAATTCTTCGCCTTTGCACCCTGTGTTGGCTCTCTGTCCTTCCCTGCCTCACTTTCCTCTGGTATATAGATATATATATCTATATACCAACCAGAGCTGATTAGAAACTGATCTAAAAAATTAGAAGCTAACTTAAACAAATTTTGTTTTATAGCAACAAAAATATGTTATGTAGGAATAGATCTAACAAAATATATGCAAGACATTTCATTAAACAACAAATTCTTATTAAGCATCTACTTTATGTCATGCCCCATTCTTGACTCTGAGGCTGCAGCAGTAAACCAAACAAACAAGTATCTGCCCTTGTGGAGTTTATATCCTCACAGAGAAAATTACAAGCCATATTGAAGGACATTAAAGGGCCTGAATAGATGGAGGGATATACCATGTACGTGAACAGGAAGACTCAATATCGTAAAGATGTGTATTTCCCAAGTCCAGTCAGGATTTTTGAGAGCCCTTGTCAAACCAAAGCAACAAAGCATGTATGTTGGGTCAAGGAGACATTTCTCTGCCTGTCGATTCCCATTATGATGCAGGGAGAGGCAAATATCAATGAATACAATGGGGATCCTAGAAACAGACACAGATGTGTGTGTGCACATGTATGTTAACTTGATGTACAATAGGGGGACATCATAAATCAGTGGGGCAAGGATGGAGGACTCAGTAAATGACACTGAGAAACTGGCTTTCCACAGGAGTGAAAAACAGATGCCTAATTCAAGTGGTTTGAAGAATAAATACGGCAAACAACTATTTCAGACTATTAGAAATATATATGTATATATATATAATATTTTTATGATCTCATGATGGGGAAAGGTTTCTTAATAAAGCACAACTCATACAGGAAAATATTGATCTGTGACTCTCTTAAAATTTAAACTGTCACGTAACAAAAGGCATTGCATATTCAATTAAAAGACAAGCTGCAGACTAGGAGGAAATATCTGCAACATATTTAACAAAGGACTAGTACACAAAGAACTCCTACAAACCATTAAGAAAAAGACTGCCCCTCCACCTGCAAAAGAAAAAGAAGTGGACTAAAGATATGAATAGAGAACTTCCGGCAGAAGAAACTGAAATAGCCAATCAACAATTGAGATATGTAAATCAAAACAATTACAAGATAGGATTTTAAATCCATCAGTTAGATAAAAATAAAAATATATATCAATGCCAAGTGTTTGTAAGCATGTTGGGAACCTTTATACGCTGCTGGTACCCTCACACTTTGAAAAGCAATTTGGCAACCTCTCGTAAAGTAGAAAAAGCACACACTTTACAAGCCATTGATAGCACTTCTGGACATGTATTCTATAGGCTCTCTGATCACAACTGCACAACCTATGGGCTGCCTTTCACTTTGCAGCTAATGTGCAAGGTGACAACTTTCCCTGAAGAAATTCTCACACTTGTGCATAGGTCATGTGTGTAAGGATGTTCTTTGCAACATTCTTTACAATAGTGGAAAATATTAGAAATGATCTAAATGTCCACTAGTAGAGTGATGGATGAAGAAAATGGGATATATTCTAATAAGAAAATCCTATACAATGATGAAAATGAATGATCCAGATCTTTATCAACATGTAAATATCCCCAAAACCTGTTGAGTCAATAAAAGAAAGTTGTGGAATGATAAATATTTTTTAAAGGTTACAATTTATGTTAGTTATAAACATACATATAAAATGATATTCTATATACTTAAGGGTATATAGATATTAAAAGTTTAAAAACATGGGGAAAGATACACGCCAAACTCATGATAGTAGTTGCCTCCGGGAACAGAGTAAAGGAAGAGGAGAGAGGAGAGGGAATTTTGACAACTTCAAGTTTATTTGGAATATTTTGTTTTATTTAAAGAACACAGTTGAAGTAAAATAAGTCAAAGTATTGTTATCTGGATTTGTTTTTTTGGTTTTGTTTTGTTTTTTCTAAATGAAAAACACACAAGCCATAGCAATAAAAAAAAAAAATCAGTGCTATGACAGGAAGTTTAGGATGCTTTGGGGATGTGTAACAGTGGAGTCTAACCAACTCGAACTGGGGTCAGCAAAGACTTCCTGAGGAAATGGAAGTTAGTCTGGTAAAGGGGATGGGAAGAGCATTCCAGGCAGAAGGAATGGCATGTGCAAAATTGGATGTCAGAGAGTGAAGCATGTTTGAGGAGGTGAACGCAGATCAGTGACCAGGAAAGAGTGGAGAAGAGTTTCTGTTTGTTTCCTTTTTTACAGATATGCAAACAGAGCCCTAGTGAGGGGAATAGAACCCAGGCCTCCTCACTCCCTGTCAGTTGCTTCATGATAATAATAATGCCCGTGATAATAATGATGATGTCCTGTGTGCCAGTCTCTCTACTAGGAACTTTAAATATGTCCTCTCATATCATCTTACTACAGACCTATTGGGGGTTTTTCTTCCCCATTTTACAGACGATGAAACTGAGGCCCATAGAAGTTAAGAAATTTGCTCAAGTTCACAGTGGCAGAAGCTGGATCCCACAAGGCCTTGTGTGCTATTCTGAGCAGGCTGGACTTTTTCCTAAGGGCATTGGTGAACGTATTAGGTTCCTATTGCTGCTGTAATTACCACAAACGGGGTGACTTAAAACGACGCAAATGTATTCGCTTGCCGTTCTTGAGGTCAGAAGTCTGCAATGGGTCTCACGAGGCTGAAATTAAGGTGTCAGCAGGGCTGGGTTCCTTCTGGAGGCTCCAGGAGAGAATGTTTCTTTGCTTTTCCACCTGCGTTCCTGGCTCATGGCCCCCTTCCACCTTCAAAGTTAGCAATCGTAAGTCTCCGACGCCTGCTTCTGTCATCACAGCCCCTCTGACTGACTCTCCAACCTCCCTCTTTCACTTACAAGGACCCTTGTGATTACAGTGGGCCCACCTGAATAATCCTGGATACTCCCCCCAACTCACAGCCAGCTGATTACCAACTTCAGTTCCACGTGTAACCTAATTCCCCCTTCCATGTGATGTAACATCTTCAGGATCTCCAGGAACTAGAGCACGGACCATTTTTGGTGGGGGGACCATAATTCTGCCTACCACGATGAACCACTGAAGGGTTTTAAGTAAGGGAACGACAAGGTGAGACCTGCATCTTAGCATCTTCATATTGCTGGTTTTGTAAAGAAAGTCACTTCATGATTTATTTAAGGCTGATTGGGCTTTGCAACAACTAACACTTTACAGGTTGAACAGTACATAGATATTAAACGTGTTAAATCTAATAACTACATGTTTGGGGTTTTTTTTCAGGATTTTTAACCTGATGGAGCTCTTCTGCACGATTGGACTATTCCCCCAACAACCAAGTATGGGCATAAGGACTATAATAATTGCCCCGTTATGGATGTGGAAACAGACCCTGGTCACTGCCCAGGTTCACAGAGCTGCCAACGCAGAACCCTGAAGAGGAACTAGTGTTCAGGCTCATTTATCTGGATTTCTTTATGCCATCCATGGGGTGGGGCATTCTGGGAAACTCAAGTGGGCCGTCAGCACACCTTGGGTGCAGTTGTTCGTGTATGACTTGGTGCCCCATAAACATTTGTTGAATGGGTGCATAACCCTGCTTTCACTTCTGTGGCACAGACAGTGATTTTCAAGGCAGGAAAACTGGGAATCATCCTAGAATTTCTTCCTTTCCCCCAGCTCCAATCTATTTGCAAATTCTGTCAGCTGCACCGCCAAAACATTAACAGACGCTGAGTCCATCCCCTTCTTCCCAGCTTCTCGGCTCCCCCTCTGTCCCAGGGCCTGTCATCTCTCACCCGGGCCACCACAGTGACCTCTTCACTCGCCTCGCTGCTTTGCCTCTCTAATCCACACTCCAGGTAGGGGCCAAAGTGATCGACTTCAAATGTAAATCAGATGCCATGGCCTCCCTGGTTGAATTTCTCATTGGCTTTCCATCATACGGAGAAGGAAACCCTAAACCTCCAATCGTGGCCATATGAGGTCCTGCATGCTTGTCTTCTCTTTGGCTTCATTCTCACCACCTCCCCTGGGCTCCCTCCCTCCAGTCCCACTGGCACCTCCCAAATGCCAAGCTTTTCTCACCACAGGGCCCTTGCCCATGCTGTTCCTTCTACTGGAAAACTCTCCACTCTTTAAATAGCTGGGTCTTTCTTATAGGTCAGATATCAGCTGGAATATCACCTATTTGGAGAGGTTCTTCCTGCCTCCCCTTTTGTTCCCTTCACAGAAAATCATGACCATTTGTAAATACTTTGTCTGTTTTCTTATTGCATTTGCCTTCCCTCCTAGACTTGAGATGTCCAATATGAAGCTACCAGCCACACATGGCTGTTAAGCATTTGACACGTGGCTAGTCTGAACTGAGATGTGCTCAAAGTGTAAAATGCGCACTGGATTTTAAAGTCTTCATACAATAAAAAGCATGTAAGATATGTCGATAATTTTTAAATAATGGCTACATGTTGAAGTGATAATATTTTGGATATATTGGGTTAAATAAAAACATTTTTAACCACCTGTTTCTACTTTTTTAATGTGGCGACTAGAAAATTTAAAATTACACGTGTGGCTCACACTACATGTCTCTTGGGCTGTGCTGGTCTAGAGTGTTAGCCGATGAAGGGAGGCAGCGTCTCCGCCTTATCCACCTGTGTTCTAGTACCTGCTGTATAGTGGGTGCTTAGCAAGTGTTTATTGAATAATTTGTTTTTTATGAGAACCCTGGGTGCAGAGAGAGCTGAGTCAGGTAGCCCCGTGCATGCTGTGAATTTGAGGAAGAAACACGGGACAGTTTTATTTTTCTCCAGTCACTGCATCTCAAACAGATTCTGCCGACTTTCTCTCCTGCTCTGTGCCACCATCGTCTCACAGCCGGGGATGAAGAGGGGCAGGTGATAGCTGGTTCAGCTGCTTCGATCTCAGTCCCCGTGGAGGTGTCTGGTCTCAATTATTTTACACTCTTCACCTTTGGTCCTAGTAGCCAGGAAGGGCTTCACCTCAACACTCAGAGACACACAGGATAGCTGGGACCCCAAGGGGACTTGCCCAGGCTCACCAGCAGGTCAGAGGTGAATGAGGCCTGGAACCTTGGTCTCCAGACTCACCTTCCAGGACTGTTGCCTCTAACTACATCCTGTTGTAGCCTCCTTTACTCAAGGGACCCAGGTGACAGTAACTCTCCCTCAGCTCCCTCTCCTCATATTTACCTCTGCTTTCTTGGGGCCTCTCGGGGCAGTTATGCCTGGTCCCAGCAGAGCTGACCCAGATGGCACCATCCTCATAGAGGCCAAAGTGGATGGGAGGATGGATGGATGGATGGATGGGTGGGTGGATGGATGGACCAGTGAAGGATGGGAGGACAGATGGCTGCATGAGCGGCAAAGGAGAATGGTTGGCTGGTAGGATACCTGCTTGGGGGGCGGGGCAGGAGAGGAAATGTACAGAAGGAAGGAATTACCCACTTTTCTCGTCTCAAACAGAACATGAAAATCAGAGGACCCATAGCGGTCAAAGGCCAACCCCCACCACGTTTCTGCTAGAAAACTGAGGCCAGAGGAGCTGGGTGCTTTGCCCCAGGGCCCGCGGGAAGGTCCAGGCAGAGCCGGAACTGAGACCGGAGTCTCCGAGCCCAAGCTGGGGGCTCTTTCCATCCCCCACCCCCGCCCCGCCCGCGCCTGACAGTGCCAGGGTGGGGGGAGCGCCCCCGCCCCCACCTCCGGAGGTGGCGGCCCCACGCGGCCCCAACAAGCTGCCGTTGTCCCGCGGGCCCTGGGCCCGGCACACTGGGGCTTTGTCCAGCCCCCCGCCGCGACCCACGAAGGGGGGGGGCCCACATGACCGAGGGGGTAGGAGGAGCCTGCGGCGGCGGTGGCGGCGGCAGCGGCAGCGGCGGCTTCACCATCGTTTCCCTCGCAGGCCGGGGGTCGGCGGGCGGTGGCGGCGGCGGCGGCCGGGCAGGGCTGGGCGGGGCCGCGGACGCCGGGCCCCCTGCTCCCCGCCAGGCTGCAGGCGCCGGGCCTGGGCCATCAGGGCAGCTGTGACCCGAGCGCGCTCCGGGCGGCGAGCTGGGGGTGCGCTCGGACCCCCGCCCCCGGGATCATGGGGAATGGCATGACCAAGGTAGGGGGGCGGGGACCGCGCAGCCCGCCCTGGCCGCCCCCGCCCCGGCGCGGCGCCCGCTCCGACCCGGTCGCTCTGCCCGGCTCTGACCTTCTGGCTCCGGCTGAGTCTCTGTATCTCTCTCTGTGTCTCTCTGGGGCTGTCTCGTCTCTCTCTGGCTCCGTATCTCTGTGTCTCTGTCTCCCTGTGCCTCTCTCTCTCTGCTTGTTTCTGTCACTCTGTATTTCTTGCTGTGTCTTCCTGTGGCTCTCTGTCACTCCCACTCTCTCGCTGAGTCCCTATCTCTGTCTACATGTGTCTCTGTCTCGCTTGTCTCTGACTCCTTGGAGTCTCTCTGCTGCCGTTTCTCTATCCTTTCCCCTCTTCCGGCCTTCCCACTCCTTCCTCCTCTGCATTCCCGGCCACCCCTCCTGGCCAGTCCGCCTCTCCCCTTGCCCCCTCCTCTGTGCTCCTCCTACCTTCCCCCCATAGGTCTCTCTGCCCTCCCGCCTCTCTCCTCTCACCCCTACCCAAGCTGACTTCCCTTGGTGCCCCCCTTCTACCCTCCCCAGACCCCTCTCACAGAGAGTCTGGGCCCGCGGGAGAGAGGAGATTGCTCCCTGACTCCTGAGGTCCAGACACCCTTCATGGGACGGAGAGGGGCTGCGGGACCCCAGCCACTGGGTGGGAGGGTGTGCAGCCCCCGCCCCGCTGAGCCTGGCTGTCTCTCCCGCAGGTTCTTCCTGGACTCTACCTCGGAAACTTCATCGGTGAGCACTGCCCACTCCATCCCCAGGCCATGGCACTCTGCCTGTCCCAGGCCTGTGTCCACTATCCACACTCTGGCCCACGCACCTTGGACACGCTCAGGAATGGGGCTGGGGCCAGGGGAGCAATGCCAAGCTGGGAGGGGGAGAGAGCTCATGAGGACTAAGGGGCACGTGGGCCCTGCAGTGTCCCCAGTGCAAAGGGCTAAGAGCCCTAGTCACTGGGCAAGTCTGCACCTGCTCCGAGCCTCAGCACAAGGCCCACCCACCTCGAAGGGTTCTTCCGGCACTGAGGCTCGGGGTGGGGAGTCTGTTTGGAGGTGTTGCTTCTGGCTGGGAAGCTGGGAACCCTCCCCCGCCCCTCCCCCCGCCCCGCCACCTCCTCCTCAGAGGTAGAAGTTTCTACCTCGGAAACTTCATTGGTGAGCACTGCCCACTCTGTCCCGAGGCTATGGCCCCGTCCTGTCCCAGGCCTGTGCTAAGAGATGGACTGCTCTGGGGCTTGGCGGACCCGAGGTAGGAAAAGTCACTTCCATCTGCGGAGTCAAAGAAAGCTTCAGAGAGGGAGGGGCGTCTGAACCGGGGCAGGGCCTTCCCCATCCCCCACTTCCCCACTGGGCTTAGGTGCTCCTCTCCCGTAAACCCTGATCCCTTCATCCCTGGGAGCTACCTCAGCAGTCGAAGCCGCTTGATTTCTCAGTATTTGGCTCAGTAAAGTTGGAATCCTCTTTAAGTGTGTAGCCCCATGAGGACAGGGGCCAGGACCCTATACCTCCGTGCCAGTCAAGGCCGCACATGGTAACACTCAGTGAATGTGCTGAATGAGGAAGTGGACGTATGGAGATAGAGGGGATGTGTGTCATCTACTCTGACAGTGAAGGGTCTGCAGATGGAGATCCAGCCCCTAGAGATGACCACTGATGGCAACGTGCAGTATATCCCTGGGTCAGCTTCACAGATCTTTGCGGATACAGATAGAATATTTAAAACAAAAATGGAAACCTCTTCTGCATGCTGTTCTGTAACCTGTTTCCTATTTAATAATATATTGTGACATCCTTGCACCTCAGCACATAAGAGAACATTTTAGTGGCTGCGCAGTGTTCAAGTATGAATCTATCATTATTTGTCCAATCCTTTTTTGATGGACATTTAGGGTGTTTCCATTTTTAACTGTTTCTGAGGTGTTTACTGTTACAAGCAGTGCTGCAGAGAACATCGTCCACTACACACAGCTTTCTCTGTGAGTGAACCCTTCTGTAGACCAGATTCCTAGAAGTAGAATTGCCAGGTCAAGGATATGCCAGGGAAGCGTGTTTGCGATGGAAAGAACAGAATGGGCAAGGCCAGGGAGATGTTGAGCTGTTACTTGTGGGCACCCCGGTGGCAAGACTGAAGCCTAGGGGTGTGGTGGGACCTGTCATGCCAGAGCAGGAGGTGATGAAAGAGTGGGGAGCTGGCGGAGGATGGGCCAAGGTGGAGAGAGAAAGGTGAGGAGGAGAGCTGGGCAGCGAGCTCCCGCCTCACTTGGCCGTCAGGAACATGTCAGTCACACCTGCCGGATTGGCTTAAGCATCCTGTTTCTTTCAGATGCCAAAGACCCGGATCAGCTGGGCCGGAATAAGATCACACACATCATCTCCATCCATGAGTCACCCCAGCCTCTGCTGCAGGTAGTCCTTCCCCCCATGCCAGGGCTGCGCATAGGTGGGGAGGGGGCTTCAGACCCCCACAGCACTCCTTTATCAAGTACCTGTCATGTGCCAGGTCCTATACTGCCTTCCTGACCCATACAAACTCCTTCAATTAAAAACTGGCCTGTTTTACGTTAGCATCCCTATTTGATCCCTATTTGGCAACTGAGGCCCAGAGAGGTAACGTTTAACTTGCCTAAGGTCAGGAAGTTAAGGAGCTGGAATTTTAACACAGGCCATCTGGCCCTAGCGGGCTCACACTGAACCATAAAAAGGCCCCCACAAGGGCTTCCCATTGCCCAACTGAATAAATGACTCCAAATGGATGATTCTGGGCTCTGTGTCTTGCTGTGTGACCTAGGGCTTGTGACTTCACCTCTCTGGGCCTCCGATCCCTCTGCCTCCAGAGGGGCAGCCCCCAGGGGGCTATTGTGAGGATGCAAAGGGGCTGCAGGTAGGGAAGATGCTTTTCACACTGTAAAGCCTGGCCCCTGCTGGAAGAGTTGGTGCTGGTATTGTTGAGTCCTGGAAAAGAGGGAGTGAGGGGGTTATGACTCAGAGGAGGAACGTAGGAAATCCAGACCTCATGTGCTGGAGTCAGGAGGCCCACGTTCACAGCTTCACTACTTATTCTCTCTGTAACCTTGGGCACAGGACTTCACCTTTCTGAGCCTCAGTTGCCTGATCTGTAAAGGGGAATTTTATAACAGTACCAACCTCACTGAGTTGTTGGGAGTCACATATTAGGTACTCAATAAATTACAGCTGCTATAATAACAAAGTTAATCATATTCTTATCCCTTAAACAGAGTGCCTTCCTCCTTATCTGTTAGAGTTTGTGTCACTTGATGAAAGGAAAGAACTGTGGGACAGGCTCTGGAGATCTGAGATCCAGAACAGGTTCTGTCACAGATTTGCTGTGTGACCTTGGACAGGGTCCTTCCCCTCTCTGGGCCTTAGTTTCCCCGTGAGTCAGATTTGAGTGTCTCTATGAACCACCTCCAATAATCTGTGATTCTCAGTGTGTTTCAAAGAAGAAATTTCCAGATCAATGGAGTCTGATTTTGCTGCCCAGGGCAGGCTCGTTCTGGAGTATTTGGAGTACGCAGTCATGCCTACTCCAGATTGCATGGGGAAGGTTGTCAAGTTATGAGTGTATTTACTAATGAAATGACTGCTTGCAAAACGAGTCCCTGCTCTAACAGGCCCGCCCTCTGCTCACAAGCACTCGCCCTCCTCATCCCCATCCATCAGTGAATTTACCAGTCAGTTTGATAATGCCCTGCAAACCCAAGGCCAAATGTGTTGCAAAGTGAAATTGCAAACCTTGCAAAAGATGCAGGATTGCGTGCCCTTGGGGAGTGAGTGAGAGAAGGGCTGGAGTCACACAAAGCCATTAACCAATGAGGACCTGGCCGGGGGTCCCTTAGCCACTGGATGGGGGGGGTGGGGGTGGGGTGGGGGGCCGGGACAGACACTGGAAAAGAGCCCTTTGAATATCAAAGAATTAAGAGAGGTCCTTGAGAAAAGTGATTCTTGGGGCAGTGGGCAGAAATCCTCTTGATTCTCTTGTGTGACAGTTAAGCATAAAGTGAAGGATGTTGTAGAAAGTTTGTTGGAGAAATTACTGACAATTCATTCCTTGATTATTTTAATAATTAGCGTATAGTTTTATAACCACACTTCATGAACTCTAAACTTATGTTCATAGTTTTTGTTTCTTTTCAAGATGATAAAAGCTGCTTTTCCCTTCTTACAGTATGATTTTTGTAATCCTCATTTGGAGGGGAGCCACTTTAAGTGGCCCTTTCCCGGCTATTAAATAAAAGGTCCCTGGATCCTTTTTATCAAGTCCTCGTGCCCAAGTCACCTATGGGTTTAGGATTCCATCCCCTCAGAAGATTCTGGAACCACAGATGGTCAGAGCTGGGAGACACTAGGAGATGGTGTCTACTGTCTTGGGATAGAGAGGATGACAGTGGTCCAGAGAGGGGCAGGAACTGGCCTTGGGTCATGAGGTGCTTGGGCAGCCCAGGCTTGGGTAAGGGGGTACAGGCAAGGGTCCCCCCACTGCCCGTGCGTGTTTTTTATTTTCAGGACATAACATACCTTCGCATCCCGGTGGCCGACACCCCTGAGGTACCCATGTAAGTTCTCCTAGACGGACTGACAGATGGACAGACAGCTACTTCCTGTGGTGGCGGTAGGGAGAGTGGGAGGTGGAGGGAGGACAAAGAGGACTCTGTCCTAAGATCCCAGCACAGGTGGTCACCCAGACCCAGGTCTGCCACGGTCTCAGTCATGCCCTTGCCTATGCCCCTGGCCAAGAGTCTTAACCTCCCAGAATTAATGGAGAACAGATCTGATGCCCCAAAGGATTTGAAAGGGTTAGGCTCAGCCTGTTCCTGGCCTTGGAGTTCAGACATCTGGGTTCTTGCCAGGCTTTGCCATTTACTTGCTGTGTGACCTTGGAAAAATCGCTTCCTCTCCCCGAGAGGGAAATAGGGGTGCGATCAGCATCAAGGAGGCTTTCAAAGATCAGATAGCACAGACGGAGAGTCGCAGACAGGGCCTGGAGTGTAATGGGGGCTCAGAAAGCAGGACTTTTGTTCATGTTATTAGCAGCAGTCCCTCCCAGCCTGGGAAGGACCCAGACAAGACACTCCTGCCCCTTGGGAGTCTTGCTCCTGGCCTCGTGCTGACCACCATTGTCCCCAGGTGCTCTGATTGCAGAGTCCAGAGGAGTGGGACTCCTGTGTCTCCTCCCTCCCATTTCCTTCAAAGGTCAAGATAAACCACCCATGAAAATAGAATCCACAGGGCCCACTGGAGAGGTGCTCCTGCCTGTGGTAGGATTTGCCATTATTGGCCCTCCTACTGCCTGAAACGCCCCCTTATTGCTTTACACACACCCCCTCCTCGTGGGATAGTACCGGCCCCTGCTCACTGTACGTGCTAGCTGACCGGAGGACCCCGGGGCGCTTTGTCTCTTGCCATCCCATAAATGGGGAAGGGGACAACTCCTAGGAGACCTGCCCCCCAGCGCTGCCCACCCTCTTGCTTTCTTCTCCAGCAAGAAGCACTTCAAAGAATGTATCAACTTCATCCACTGTTGCCGCCTCAGTGGGGGGAACTGCCTTGTGCACTGGTGAGTTAAGAGGGGCCTGGGGGGAGAGGAAGGAAGTCCCGAACACACACTCATCCTCTGGGGAAGGAGGAGCCTGTGACAGATCTTCTGCAGCCCATCACAATGCCTGACAGTCCACCATTCGTCTGACAGAGGCCGGTCAAGGGCTCAGATCAGGGCCCTATCCCTTCCCCGCCGTGTGGCCATGGCCATGGCTGTTTCTCCCTGAGATTCCATTTCCTCATCTGTAGAATGGGGAGAAGAATGCTGACCTGACAGGCTATTGGCAGGACTAGGTGAGGTCACGCAGGTAGACCAGCACCCTCCAATAGTCCTCTCCTCCCCTCCAGGCCTTTGAGGCGATAGTGCAGGGTGGTGGGGAACCCCAGGCTGGGAGGCAGGACCCCTGACTCTTCCCAGGGGCCCCTGGCCCAGTTGATGTCATTCATTCCATAACTTCTCACTGAGAACCCAGCCTATGCCCGGCTCAGGGCGGCTCTGGGGGAGCCCCAGCCATACACTCAGCTCCCTCCTGCCTCGTCTCTCCCCCTCTCTCCCTCTTTCCCCTGCTCCAGCTGCACTGGCCGTCTCCCTGTTCTTCACATCCACCAGGCTCCCACCTTATATCTTCCTACCTGCTGCGCAGAATCCCCATCTTTCAGGACTCAGCTTGATGTCACTTCCTTGGGAACCCCTTCCCTCATCCTCCCCATCCCTGCCCTCCTACCGCTAGATTAATACTCTTCCTGTACCATCTCCTAGGCCCGACTCATCTTCAAAGCAGTTAGCACCACCTGAAATTGTTTCCCTGGTTAGTGTCTGTCCCCCCTACCACCCTGGAAGCCCCAGAATGGCAGAGACCATGTCTGTTTTATTCCCCCATCTATCCCCAGTATCTGAAAAATAACAGATGATCAAGAAATGTTTGTTGAGTGAATGCATGAAATGATGTTTCACTCAGGCCTTTAATGTGGGAGAATGCTTGGGGGATTCTCCAGGCAGAGGGAACAGCATGGGTAAAGGCCTGGAGGTGGGAAGACAGGTCCTGGCAGGTTCCTTGTGGTTGGAGCTCAAGAGGCAAGAGGTGGGGACGGGGTGCTTGGCGGGCACAGAGGAGATTGGGCCTTACCTGAAGCCCGGGGGTGGGGGGGCCTCCCAGCTTTGCAGGCATCTCCCGCAGCACCACCATCGTGACGGCATATGTGATGACGGTGACGGGGCTCGGCTGGCGGGACGTGCTTGAAGCCATCAAGGCCACTCGGCCCATCGCCAACCCCAACCCAGGCTTTAGGCAGCAGCTTGAAGAGTTTGGCTGGGGCAATTCCGGGAAGGTAGGGGCTGGGGCAGGGCTGGGGTGGGGTGGGAAACTCTTCGCCCACTTGAGCCGAGCACCGACTGGACAGAATTCGGCCAGTGCTTCAGACTTCGCAGCAGATTTTTCTGAGGTCTCGAACTCGTGGCCCTTGAGCTAATCTAGGTGTATTTGTTTGGCCAGCCAGGTGTTTTCTTTTTTAATTTAGAATTTGAATGCCTTTGAGCTAGACCAGGTCCCAGCACTGCCTGTTCTACAAGCCTGGACCCTGAAGGCATTTGAGTTTGGCTCCTCTGGGGAGACCGTCCATCCCCGAGTCTCCGGAGGCCAAAGCAGTTCCGTCTCTTATGCCCGCTGGGCAAATGGCACAGGGAAATGTCAGGAACTGAGGCCTCCCTGGGAAAAAGGGATGAGAGGGAGAGACAGACACAGAGAGAGAGAGAGAGGGAGAAGCAACAAGTTCAGGAAGGCTCTCCTCAGGGGGCGGGCTGGTACCCAGACGCCTATCTGCAAGGCTGCCTTAGGAAGGAGGCAGGTGAGGAGGAGGCCCTGCCTGAGTGGAGTTGCTGCGGAGGGAGGGTATAAGGTGGTCCTCACTGTGCAGGTGGGGGTCACTTTAGCAGGTCTGGAAGATGGAGTGTTAAAGGGGAAGGGGATTCAGGGAGAGAGAGGGGACTCATAGGGGAGGCGGGCTCAATGAAGGGGATGGAAACTCAGGAGGGAGGCTAAGAGGATGCTTAGGAATGGGAGGGGCTTAGCGAGGTGTGGTAAGCTCGCAGAAGAGCGGAGGCTGTGAGGATTGGGGACCGGACCGGCCGGCAGCCTGGCACCGACCCCCGCCCCGCCTTACGTCCCCACGCCAGCTTCGCCGACAGCTGGAGGAGCGCTTCGGAGAGAGCCCTTTCCGCGACGAGGAGGAGGTGCGCGCGCTGCTGCCGCTGTGCAAACGCTGCCGGCAGGGCTCTGCCAGCTCGGCCGCCTCCCCCGCGCCGCACTCTGCGGCCTCCGAGGGGACCCTGCAGCGCCTGGTGCCGCGGTCGCCCCGGGAAGCCCACCGGCCGCTGCCGCTGCTGGCGCGCGTCAAGCAGACTTTCTCTTGCCTCCCGCGGTGTCTGTCCCGCAAAGGCGGCAAGTGAGGAGCCCGCCCCGTCGTGGCGCCCCTCTTCCTCCCTACTGGTCCCCATCGGGGGCTGTCTGGGCCTCCCAAGGCCTCCAGGACGGGCCCAGAGCCTGTGGGAGTCCCGCGGCGGCCTGATCCCTGCCCCTGCCCCCATGCCCGCCTTGCTTGTCTGCGTCTGCAGTCAGTGTGTCCTCCATCTGTGCGTCTCTGCGTCTGGGCCGGCCTGCTGCAGCCACCTGGTGCCTTAGTCCTTGGGCTGGGGGAGGGGGCACCCAGGCCTCCACCCTTCAAGGCGGCAGAAGTGGGAGTGGGTAGGTGGGTGGGGGTTGGATGGGCCTAGAGGATATTAAAGAGACACAGAAGCTGCCTGTCTGAGCGCCTCCCAGTCATTCAGCAGAGGCGGGGCAGCAGGACTGCCAGGGGCCGGGAGCCTGCAGGAAACCAGGACGGGAGGGGGTCTGCCTGCCTCCCTGAACTGCAGTCTGCAGGGCTGAATTCTGAGACTTTACCCTCTTCCCTGACCCCACCTCCATCTCTCCCCAGCCCTGGTCTCCTGAAGAGACCCCTCAGTCCCCCCTTCTCTCTGAACCCCCACCCCCCATCTCTGAGCCCCTCTCGTCCTCCCTGATGCCGCGTTCTCCCCTCCAGCTCCTTCCCCTTTCCTATTGACAAATACTAGCTAGTGAGGTAACTAGTGCCTCCCTGACACCTGACCTTTTACACACATGAGTGCACCTAATCCTCGAGAGGAAACTGAGGTTCAGAGAGGTCAGGGACCTTGCCTGAAGACACACAGATGAAGTAGGGGAGACTAGATTTGAACCTAGGCAGTCTGAGTCCCATGATGGTTGTTAAGAAGCAGCTCCTTCTGGTCTTGGAGGTTACTGGCAAGGAGGATCCCCTGCCAGCTAGTGGGAATGACCCTTCCCATCCAGAGTTTAAAGGCCAGGGCAGCCACTGAGGAGGGAGGGCCTCAAGGCAGCCCTAGAAAGCAGCAGACTACTCCAAGAATGAAGGGAGGTCATTGGAGCAGACTTTTCCTAAACTGAAATGAACCTGAAGTTGACAGGGGCCTGAACTAGCTATAATCTAATAGCTAGCAGCACGTGTTCAGGGCTCGGGGGGGGGGGGGGGGGGGGAGGATGGATGAAAGAACCTTCACCTGCTGCCCAGCCCCCTACTCTGAATTCACTCAACAGATGTTCGTTGAGCACCTACTGTGTGCCAGGCATTGTGCTGGGCCCTGGGGATACAGTTGCCTACATTCTGGTAGGAAAGACACCAGACAAAGAGATAAACAAAAAAATGTCAGGTAATGAGGGAGTGAACCATTTTGCTCTCTCAGGGGAGCATTCCAGGCAGAGGGGACAGTAAGTGAAAAGTCCCTGAGGTAAGATTGTGCATAAAGAGCAAGGTGGCCAGACTCACCAGTGGTCCTCCTGGCTGGTCAGCAGTGCCACCACCATCCACTGGATTTAAAACACCTTTCTATTTCTGCTGGTGTCCCCCCTATTTAAAAGCCTCCACGGCCCCATTGTCGATAGGACAAAACAGAGCACCTTGCTCTGATGTTCCAGGTCCTTCTCACTTCTCCCCTCCTTCTCTCATTACTTTTACCACATTCTGACTCAGCAACGACAACGATAATAGCACACATTTACTGAGCGCTCACTAGGGGCCAGGCAATGTGCTAAACACTGTCCTTGCATCTCATTTAATCCTCAAGCAACCCGATGAGGGGGGCGTTGTTGACAGACCAGGAAACGGAGGTGGTGCTGAAGGTCATCAGCTGAGGGTGGGGGGGGGAGGGCTGGGATTTGATTCTTGGCCATCTGGCTGTGGACCCCATCCTCTTAATTGCCACACTCTGTCACCTAGAAAAAGGAAGAGATTGTCTGACACACTCAGGACTCCTGCTCAGATACAATTAGGACTCGTATGTAATCATATGAAATGCTTTGTGCCCCATCGGAGGCCTGCAGGCCTGAGTCTGCATCCCGACTGTCACTGTAGACGTGTCAGAACTGAGTGGCTGCTGGCACGTGAGGACAGAGGGTGGGAGCATGAAGAAGGACCGTCTGACACACGCACAGGAGGGACAGTGCTACCGGCCACTGGTCAACGCTGGCTTGGTGTCCAGCCCTATGTCCACTAACTGAAGGGTGGTTTCTCTCTCTCAGAGCCTCAGTTTCCCCACGTACACAGCACAGGGTGGAGCAGCCTGAGCTACTTGACCTCTTTCGTATCACACACCCCCTTTGACAATTTAATGAAAGATACAAAGCCTAGACAAATACATAGACATGAAGATGTCTACATTGAGGGTGGGGGTGGGGCGTGTCACAGACCCGGAGAGGAATCCATAAACTCCAGGTATAGCTGTCGGGAGGCAGTGTGGGGCACTGTTTGGGCTCCTGGCCCTGGGGCAGAGAGACACAGGTTGAGATCCTAGCTCCCCCATGTACCAGCTCTGTGACCTGGTTATTGGGCCTTGCCCTCTCTGAGCCTCAGTCTTCCTCCCTATAAAATAGGTCATGATAGCATCTCACATGAGAAACAATTGCCACACTGCAGGAAAGGCTTTAGCCAGGCCCGGCTCTGTGGTGAGCTGTCAGTAACCCAGATCTCCCAATGTTTAAGGAAACGTTTCTCCAAGTGTGGCCTATGGACCACGGGAATCAGAATCCCATGGAGGGACTCGTTAAAATGTGGCTCCCGGGCTTCCTGCCCAGGAAATCTGCTTCTGCAGGTCTGGGATGGAGGCCAGGAGTGTGCGTTTTAGACTGGTCTCTGCCTCCCAGTTCTGAAGGGCCTTCATTTCAGAGGTACTGGTCCTTTCCAACCTCTGCAGTCCGGGTCCTGAGAAGAGACTGACAGGTTTCCAGTAGGCTGGGAAGAGCAGAGAACAGGTGCAGGGTGGGGCAAGGGACGCCTTTGGGTGCCCGTCTGGGTCCCCTCCCTGGAGAGACAGAGCCCAGGCTACCCCACGCCATACCTTCCACTGGGTCTTAGCCAACCACGCAGCCCTCAGCTGCCCCCACGCGAGGCCCGACGCCCTCCTGGCCAGGCTACACGGGGAGGGGCGAAAGGGAAGGGCGTCCCGGGAGAGGGGGCAGAAAGGAAAGCGAAACCGGCTGCCCAGACTTTCGCTTTCGCCCGCCTCCGCGCGCCAGCCAGGTGTCCTCGCGATCCCCTATCGCTCTGGGGTCCAGTCGCCGCGCCCCAGACCCGACCCCCGTCACAGTGCGTTCCCCAAATGGCCGGCGACCCCTGGCGGAGAGAGGAGGAGAAGGTCCCCGACGGCAGGCGACCCATGGTGGGAGCCAGGGGGCCCCTGCGCCTCCGCGACTGGCTGGTGGCGCAGATCGAGAGCGGGCGCTACGCAGGGTTGCGCTGGGAGGACGAGGGCAAGACCCTCTTCCGCATCCCCTGGAAGCACGCAGCCAAGCAGGGCTACCGGGCGCAGCAGGACGCGGCGCTCTTCAGGGTAAGGGGGTGGGGGGCGGTCCCCGGCCGCACCCCGGGCGGGCTCTGCACGCGCACCGTCCCAGCGCCAGGACCGACCGACGCGCTGTGTGACCTGGGGCCACGCGCTCGGCCCTTGGCCTCAGTTGTCTCTGGGTTGAGGGTAGTGCTCTGCACAGGCGGGAGACCCTCAGACACCCCCTTAAAAGGGAATCACCACGGCTGCGTGACCCGCACCGCCCCACCTCTCAGGGGGCCTCTGCTCCCTCTCCACGGGGAAATCAGACATCACACATGGGAATTCCCTCAACCTCTCACGCTAAACCACCCACCCGGCAACTTGGGGACATTTTCTGTGCTTCTCAGCCCCAGCCTTTCTCAGGGACCTCCTCCGGGATGCCTTCCCTTTGGTCAGGCATCGTTACTGTCCTCCAAACTTGCTCGCTCTTTCCCATCAACGTTTAAACTCTGGAATCTCTCCCGTGAGCTATAAGGAACCAACCACTTATCAGCCACTGCCACACCCCAAACACTGGCAGTGCCTTTGACTCCTGCTCCTCTGGCCTGCCTTCTCCTTTCCCAGGGTGAGGCGCCTGGAAACGGTCTCCTGGTCATCAGCTCCCTCACTCGTAGCCCCCCAATTCCTTCTCGCTACCACCACCCTCGTCCGGCTTCTGCCTTTCCTGCTAATGTCTCCAGTTGTCACATCCAAGGATGCCATCACGGTCTTCATCTTCTTTCACCTCTGAGTGGGTCTGGGCCTGGTGGACCTGCCTTCTTCCTTGAAACATCTCACTCGGTTTCCAGAATCTCTGCTTCCCACCCGCCCCCAGTGTCCCCCATTTTCCTCCTACCTCCCTGGCCCCTGCTTCCCAGCCTCCATTTCCTCCCCTCCTCTTTCGCAGCTCCCAGCACTCACCCCTGCGTCTCCCTCCTCATGTCCCACTCTCCCCTTCCACAGCCTCCGCGTGGAACCCCAAGCCTGCTGGTCTGGCGGCCCCCAGACCTCTCAAACTCAGCATGCCCTCAATGCCACACTCGTTAGCTCACCTCTGCGGCTGCTGTGTTTCCCAAAATGGGAAATGGCACCGATTGCCACCCAGGCCCCAGAGTCAGGCACTTGAACCCCAGCTGCTCCCCTCTCTTCCAGTCTCACTCTCCTCTGTCACCAAGGCCTGCTGATGTCCCCTGCAGATCTCTTCAGTCCATCTGCTTGGACCCATTTCCACCATCTCTCACCAGGTCAACTGCAGTGACCTCACGGAGCTCCCTGCTTCCCCAGTCCCTTAGCTCTCCCCTCAGGCCTCCAGAGGGATCTTTCTAAATGTAAATCTTGCCTTGAAACTCCTCTACTCAGAATCCTTCCATGGCTCCCCATTGCCCTTGTGATTAAAGTCCCACCAACTCTTTATGATGGCCTCAAAGCCGTGCCATCGACTGCCCCTCTCTGGCCTCCTTGTCTCCACTCCCTCTGCTCCCCAACTCTAGAGCCAGCCTGACAGTTCTTTCAGTTTCTAAGCGCTGTGTGTCTCCCTCACCGTTAGACCTTTGCATGTGCTGTTCTCCTCCTTGGAACACCCACTCCTCTTCGCCTTCACCTAGCCAACTTCCATTGTGCTCAGCTTCAACGTCTCGTGCTCAAGAGAGCCTCCCCTGAAGCACTCATGTATTCAGTGCATTTATTAAACTCCAGCTCAGTGCTTCTCCCAAGTCATCCCTGATTCCTTCTGCTTCCTCCATTGGAACGCCTTTCCCTGCGAATTATAAGTGCCTTGTATGAGACTGTCTCCTCCAGCAGACTCCCTCCTGCTGCTCGAGGGTAGTGACCATGAGCACGGTGCCTAGCCACCAGAAGGTGCTCCATAAGTGTTATACAGATGGTTACATGGCCTGTCCCTGAAGACTGGGTGCTGTTCGGAGGAGGGAGATTCTGGGACTGGCCCTCCCCATCCCTCTGGCTGCTTTCACCCATCCCTCAACCCACTGCTGACAGACTCATGTGACTTCCTGGTTTCTCACCCTCCTAGTGCCCCCAAAGCCCACGGGATAAAGCTTGGCCTCCAAGGACATTCATGATCCAGCTTCAGTCTGTCTCTTCTTCCTCAATTCCTCTTCTCCTTTCCCCTGCCACATACAGTTGATCCTCATTATTCATGAATTCCATATTTGCAAATTCACTTACTTGCTAAAATTTGTAATCTCCCAAATCAATACTCAGGGTGCTTTTGCAGCCGCTCACAGACGTGTTCAGAACGGCAAAAACTGAGTCACTGGACGTGCACATTCCCAGCTGAGGTTGGACAAGGGCACGCTCTGCCTTTTAGTTTTAGCTCTCCTACTGTCAACAAGCGTCATTTTCAGTCTATTTAGTGCCGTGTTTTAATATTTTTGTTCCTTTTGTTGGTGATTTCAAATGGTGGTTTGAAATGGTCCCCAGCATAGTGCTGAAGCGCTGTCTAGTGTCCTAAGCACAGGAGACTGTGACGTGCCTTATGCAGAAACGCTTTTTGCCTTATAGTTCATGCCTTTCAAGTTTTGTTTCAGAAGCACTCTCTGCCCCTGGAAGATTTCCTCCTACATTATCTTCTATTAATTTTACAGTTTGACCTCTTAGTTCTGGTTTCTTAATCGTCTGGGGTCTACTTTGTATGTGGCAATAGATGGGGATTTAGTTTTATCAGTTTTACCAGTTAGCAAATCACTGCCATTAGTTTATACCCCATGATCCTATTTATTTTTTATCTATCACAATCCATAATTTGGAATATAGTTATTTGCATTCAGCTGTTTGCAGCCGTATTCTCCCATTAGACTTGAATTCCTTGAGAGCAAGGACATGTCTGTCTTGTTCCCAGTTCAGTCCCTAACTCAGGCCTAGCACATCGCAGGGACTCAAGGGACCTGTGTTGGATGGAGGAAGGGAGGAAGAGATGGAAGCATGGAGGGGTGGAGGGACAGAGGGTCAGAGGGAGAGAGAGGTGGGTGGGGGGCAAGGCAGGCCCTCACCCCTCTGCATGGCACCGGCCCCCTCTCCCAGGCCACTCCTCCCCAAGTCCCCCTGCTCATCCCCAGGCCTGGGCCATATACAAGGGCAAGCACGTAGAGGGCATTGACAAGGACGACCCCTCCACCTGGAAGACGCGGCTCCGCTGTGCCCTCAACAAGAGCGCCGACTTCTGTGAGGTGCATGCGCGCAGCCAGCTGGACATCTCCAACCCCTACAAGGTCTACCGGATTGTGTCCGACGGTACCGATGGCCCAGGTACCATCCTGCCCCTGGAGGTAGTGGCTGAGGATGGCTCTCTGGGCAATAAAGACCTCACTTTGCCCATCTGTAAAATGGGAAATGGTGGACTTATTGAGCTTAAACTCTAGGGCTGGTAAACATAGGACACTTAGACCACCCAGTTTATCTCCCCATTTGATAAGGAGGAAACTGAGGCCCAGAGAGAGGTGGGCCTTGCCTAAGATCATGCAGTGGGCCGGGGTACTCTTGTCTGTGACCATCTCAGTTGAGGGGGTCCCCCTTGGGGCCCACGGAACAACAGGCTCTCCCTCCATCCAGTTACCAGGGCTTGTGCTCCCCCTCAAGAGAAGGGCATTCTCCAGAGCCAGGCGGAGCCCCCTGGAGAAGTGACGGAGCTGGCCTGCAGGACAGACCAGGTCAGTGTGTCCTTCCAGCCTCGGCAGCCTTGCCAGCTTGGTCACTTCTCACCCAAACCACCCTCCCAGTGATCTCTGGCACATTTTTCTCATCCCTGCCATCAGCTCCTGCTCTATCACTATCCTCATACCTCAACTCCATCTCTGCCGTCATTTTCAGCTCCATCATTCTATTCCCTTCACCTCCATCATCTCTGGTTCCCTCACTGTTCCCATCACCTCCATCATCTTCAGCTCCATCACTCTGTCCAGCATCAACCCTATTTTCTCCAAATTCACCCCCTCTCCCCTATCATCATTGAGTCCATCACTTTGTCCCCACTCACCCCTTCAGATCCAGTTCCATCACGTATTTCTTTTACCTTCATCACCTCTAGCTCCCTCACTATAGAGAGTTGCCATCACCCCATCATCTCTATCTCCATCACCCTGTCTGTATCGCCCTCATTATCTCCACCCCATCACCTCTCCCCCATCACCGATGGTACATTGCTCTGTGCCCATCTCCCCATCAGCCTGGTCCATTTCACTGTGCCCACTGCCCCCATCAGCATCCATTCCATTGCTCTGTCCCCCCATCTCTATCACCTTTGTTCCCCATCTCCTCATTCACTCCTAGAACTTCTCTCCTTATCACAGTGAACTTCATCTCTGACCCTATCATCTCCAACAACGCCATCAACTCTCTCTTTACCTCTGTGGAGGGTGGGGGGAGTCTTGGGCTCTGAAATTCAAATCCCTATCAACCCCCAGCTGGCCTTCGGTCTGTCCAGACCTCCTCTGCCCCAATGCAGACAGTGTGGGAACGCCTGTGGCCCACAGGTCTCCTCTCCCACCTTCATAACCCTCTCTCCCACTGCTCAGGATGGCTCCGAACTAGCCACAGAGGATAAGGACAAGCAGCAGCCTAGGGGGCTGGCCCAGCAGGGCTCCCTGCCACCAACCACCCTGCTCCTGGGCCCTTTGGCTGACCACAGTAAGGAATGGGTCTCTTCACTCACCCCTGCCCCCTCCCCCGCCTCCTCCGAGCCCTTGATCTAGGGGTCGAGGGACCCAGGGTGAGGTGGCACCTGACTGCTCCCCCTCCTTCCCCAGGGTACCAGGCACAGGACCCTGCACACCCTTGGAGCCCCTCGCCCCCTGAGGACTTCAGCAACCCTGGTAAGAAATCTGAATAAGCTCTCCCCACAGCCCTGTGAGACAGATACTGCCATTACCCCCACTTTACAGGCGCAGGAACCAGACAGAGAGGTTAAGAACCTTGCCCAAGCTCACACAGCTAGGAACCCTGGGAAAGTTACCAACAGGTCACAGGTCCTAAGTGGCAGCGAGAGATTAGACTGCAAGGGCCCGGCTGCAGAGCCCACCACGCTGACCATCGAGCATCCTACTGGCTCTTCTTCTGGGAGGCTGCTGTTGTTGTTTTTGTTGTTATTGTTATTATTATTTCTACCAGCATTAAAATATTTGCTGGGAAGAAGCTCCTAAAATCCCAGAAACCAGGGCTGGGAGGGCCTCAGTGTCAGGCCCCCATTGACGGCTCCAGACTATATGCTTTTGAAACTCAGCTACCAGATCGTTTATAGTGGAAGCTGCTATTATTTACTACCCCCTCTCCCCAACCCCCGCCACACACACACACTACTACCAGAACTATTATTATCAACTGTAGTGAGTGAGCGCCAGAAATTCCCGAGGTGGGGCCTGGAGGACCTCGAGGTCTCCTGCCCGGTTGGCTGGGGGAGAGGCGAGCGGGTGCCACCAACGCGTGGCGCACGCTCCGCGTCTTCCCTTGCTGCAGATTGCTGGCTGCACGTGCGGCTGTTCTATGGCGCCGAGCTGGTGCGCGAAGCCACCGCGCGCACCGCAGAGGGCTGCAGTCTGAGCCCGCGGGCGGCCGCCGCCGCCGCCGAGCGCCTGCTGGGGCCGCCGCGGCGCATGGCGCAGGTTCGCTTCCCGGAGCCGCCGCCCGGCGCCCGCGTGCTGCAGCGCCTGCTGCCGCACCTGGAACGCGGCGTGCTGCTGTGGGTGGCGCCCGAGGGCGTATTCGCCAAGCGCCTGTGCCAGGGCCGCGTGTACTGGCGCGGCCCGCTCGCCCCGCACCGCGCGCAGCCCAACAAACTGGAGCGCGAGCGCACCTGCCAGCTGCTCGACACGCGCCGCTTCCTCGCTGGTAAGAGCAAGACGGTGGGGCCGCTGGTGGCGCGGGGCAGAGTGACTGGGCACAAGGGTGGGCAAAGGGACGTGGACAGAGGAGAGTGGGCACACGAGATGTGGACGCAGGGGAATAGAATTAAGGATGCTGGGCATGGGGTGGGCATCGAAATAAAGGACATGACACAGAACATGGGGAGTGGGAACGAACATGGGCATGAGGGCTGGGCACAGATATGGACATAGGCATATGAGAGGTGTAGGCACGAGGCAGGCTTGGGGCATTCGGTGTAGGGCATAAGCATAGGATTTGGGCACATGTGTTGTCATAGGGTGCTAAGCATAGGGTTCACATCAGGGGCACTGGGCACAAGATAGGCATAGGTGAGTGATGGGGCACAAGGCGAGGGGCCTGAGCACTGGAAGTGGGCACAGATGGGGGACATGAGACAGGCATCGGGACGTGGAAGTGGGCACAGGGCATGGGCACACAATGGATGGTGGGCTTACAGGACGTGGGCATGGGGCAGGAGCACAAAGTGGGCACCAGGTGGGATGCCCAGTCTTGGCCCAGCCCCCACAGTCTTGGTGCCCGTAGAACTGCGCGCCCACCTGCAGGATGGTCACCCAGAGCCCGAGTACCAGATCCGTCTGTGCTTTGGCGAGGAGTACCCAGGGCCCCCAGACCAGCCTGAGGAGCGGCTCATCATGGCCCATGTGAGTCACCTCTCACTCCAGCGGAGAGCCACACCCTCCAGTCCCCTCTGAACGGCCCCTCACTGCTCCCTGCAGTCCCAGCTCCGCCCCTGACCTGCGGCATGACCGCTGGTCTGTATGACCCTGTATGTAAACATGCGTATGGGGAAGGGGCGGTCACTAGGGCTGGGACTTCCAACTGGAACGTAGGGTGCCAGTAACCGAGGTGGTTGGCTCATTGTCCCCCAACCCCCGCTGCAGGTGGAGCCAGTCTTCGCCCGGGAGCTCCTCCTGCATATGAAGCGCCACGGCCATGGTGCCCGGGCCGCAGGTCTCCAGCCCTGCATCCAAGGCATCACTCACCATTGACGCAGCTGAGTCAGCCCTAAGCAGCTGCTTCTTCCTCATGCCCTCTAAAGTCAGCCCCCCACAAGGTGCAGACCACACCCCAGCCCTGCCCAAACTGAGCCAGAGGTCTTGGGGTCTCCCCCCACCCATCACCCAGGTAGGTTGGGACAGTGGAAGCCGATGGCGGCTCCACCCTCTCAGCCATGGAGATGAAGCCCTGGAACGTGGCACGTAGCCCCAGCAGCTGGGCCTAGGGCATCAGGCGGAAACCAAACTCAAGCTTGAGGTTCTGGAAACAGCAATTACATCAGAAACAAGACTTCATCTCTTTGCTGAGAGCCCAACATGCATATAGTGGTTTACTAAAAGCACACCTTAACTGTGGTTGATCCACTGTAAGTTTTGCTTAAAGCTGGGTTTACCAATAATTAGATCCTCAGGGTTCTTTAGAGTGGGGCCAACCAGTAACAATTGCCCACCTCTGAGGGGCTCTGAATTTCCAGACCCTTCCTCCCGCCTGCCACTCATCTCTCTTCTTCTTCTTTTTTTTTTTTTGGTGAGGAAGATTGACCCTAAGCTAACATCTGTGCCAATCTTCCCCTATTTTGTATGTGGGATGCCTCCACAGTGTGACTTGAGGAGTGGTGTGTAGGTTCTGCACCCAGGATCCGAACCTGCTAACCCCGGACTGCTGAAGCTGAGTGTGCAAACTTAACCACGATACCACTGGGCCGGCCCCCTCTCTCTTCCTTTTGGGTGTGTGTGGATGGAGAGGGGAGGAGGTCCCAAACAGAGGACTTGGCCTGAACCTGGGGCTGTGGATGCTGACCACTGAACCACCAGCAGCACCTGTAGACGCTGTCTTTGGAGAAGTTGAGGCAGGCCCCCAAACACGACCCTGAGGCAGAAGCCAAAGTGGGAGCCAAGAGTCGGGCCCTCCCCCAGGCCGGCCAGTCTTTGCAAACTGTAAGTTGTAGGGCGTCCTTGAGCCTTGGGAGGCAGCCCACCAGGAGGGCAGTTGCCCCGGCCTCAGCAGGAAGGTCACTGATTTCCACTCCAGATATCTAGAACTTCTTTCCTTTTCTAGTTTCTGACTTTATCTATAGGAATCCTCTCACAGATGGAAACATCATAGGTCTCTTTTAGTGATATATGAAAAAGCCGCTTTTACGGGGAAGGGGGACTGTGTGATTCAACCAAGGCCAGAAGTCCATCAGATCACTGTTCTTCTAATTCATCCAACAAATGTTTATTGAGCACCTGCTCTGTTCCAGGCCAATGCTGGACACTGAGCATAGAGCAAAACACCATGGTCCCTACTCTCTTGGGGTTCACAGCCTGCTTTCCAGTGGGGGCCCAGTGACTGTCCTCTACTCCTGGCCCTCACAGAAAGGGTGGTGGTAAGGAGTTACAGACTCCTGGGTTGAAATCTCAGCTTTGTCACTTACTAGCTGCGCGTGACCTCAGGCAAGTCACTTAACTTCTCTGAGCCTCAAATTCCTCATCCATTCAAAAGAAGCTATGAAGCCCTTTGGAGCAGGATTGGTCCAAGAAGTAAATGTAAGGAGGGGATGTGAGTGGCCTGGCACGAAGAGTGGCGCACAGTAAGCGCCCACTCAGTTACTTGTGGGTAGGAGAGTGTGGAGGAGGCTGCCCCACCCTTCAGAAAGCCTGACTGTCTGTCCTGGGCTTCGCTGCACCCCCGGCCCAAGGCTGCAGCTGGTGGGGAGCCTCAGTTCAGAGTGACGGTCTAAACCCCTGCTCTGCGCTGGGGAAACAAACTCAGCCAGGGTCAGGGACTGGCTGGAGAGGCTTCTTGGGAGGGTGGACGTCTCTGCCCAGATGTCTGTCCTCCCCACACCAGTCACTAGAGGGCGCTGGGGGCTCAGCAGACCCAGTTCCGTGGCCCTCCACATCATCCCAGGCTCCCCTCCCCGCTTACACCCCAGGGCTAGGAGGGCAGGGAATGGTGTGACCTCGAGGGCTCTGCACTGCGGGGAGGAGAAAGTAGACCAGAGGCCTGGTGGGAGGAGGAGAGGAGGAAAGGGGAACTAGAGGAGAGGACTGGAGAGGCCCCTGGGGCTTTTCTCACGGAGACTCCCCATTCCCCAGCTCAGCCACTTAGATCCCCCGTCTCTCGTCAGCGTGTCTCTCTGCCCGCCCTCTCTTGTGTCTGTACCTGTGTCTCTCTCCATCTCCCTCTTTCTCTGTAGATTTCTGTGTTTCTCTCTTTCAGTGATTCTAACTTCTGTGTGTGTCTGGGCACTGTGTGTCTTTATCTTTTCTGTCTCTCTCTGCCTCCATCTCTCGCTGTGTGTTCCTGCCTCTCTCTTGTTATGTCTCTACCTCTCTTTGTCTCTGTCTCTCTGTCTTTTTTTTGCTATCTCTGTCTCTTTACGTCTCTGCCTCCATCTCTTTTTGTTTCGGTCTCTGTCTCGCTCGGTTTCACATCCTGTCCCTCCCCAGCCACCACCACCCGGCACATGTGGGCTGAGGGTCTCAGTCCCTTCCCTCCCATCTCCTCACCCCTGGCAGCTGCTCACAGCTTCCCAATCCTGGCCTCTCCTGCCCGCCCCTCTTGGGCCTTGGGGGAGGGGGGTGAGGGAGGAAGGGAGGGCAGCCTGGCGGGCCCACCCCTTTTTGCCTTTCCAGGCTGGGAGGCTGGGCCAGTGGGCCTTTTAACCAGCCCTGGCAGGCTGTGCCGGACACCAGCCCTGGACGCCGTGCCTGGCCCCTGTGGTCCCGGCAGCCGCCAGCCCGGCCAGCATGCAGCAGCAGCCCCCACCCGGGCCCCTGGCCCCTGCGGCTGAGCCGACCAAGCCTCCCTACAGCTACATAGCCCTGATTGCCATGGCCATCCAGAGCTCCCCGGGGCAGCGGGCCACGCTCAGCGGCATCTACCGCTACATCATGGGCCGCTTCGCCTTCTACCGCCACAACCGGCCTGGCTGGCAGAACAGCATCCGCCACAACCTGTCGCTCAACGAGTGCTTTGTCAAGGTGCCCCGCGATGACCGAAAGCCAGGCAAGGGCAGCTACTGGACGCTGGACCCCGACTGCCACGACATGTTCGAGCACGGCAGCTTCCTGCGCCGCCGCCGCCGCTTCACTCGGCGGGCAGGTGCCGAGGGCGCCAAGGGCCCCGCCAAGGCGCGCCGCGGACCCCTCAGAGCCAGCAGCCAGGACCCAGGAGTCTCCGACGCCGCGACTGGCAGGCAGTGCCCATTCCCTCCAGAGCTGCCAGAGCCCAAAGGCCTAAGCTTTGGGGGTCTGGTGGGGGCCTTGCCAGCCAGCATGTGCCCGCCAACGACCGATGCCAGGCCTCGGCCACCCGCGGAGCCCAAAGAGATGCCCACGCCTAAGCCTGCAGGCCCAGGGGAGTTCCCTGTGGCCACCTCGTCTTCCCCATGCCCAGCGTTTGGCTTTCCTGCTGGCTTCTCTGAGGCTGAGGGTTTTAGCAAGGCCCCTACACCCATCTTGCCCCCTGAGGCGGGCATTGGGAGCAGCTACCAGTGCCGGCTGCAGGCACTGAATTTCTGCGTGGGGCCCGACTCAGGCCTGGAGCACCTCTTGGCCTCGGCAGCCCCCTCCCCTGCACCACCCACCCCTCCAGCCTCACTCAGGGCCCCACTGCCCCTGCCAGCTGACCCCAAGGAACCCTGGGTTGCAGGCAGCTTCCCTGTCCAGGGAGGCTCTGGCTACCCGCTTGGGCTGACCCCCTGCCTATACCGGACACCAGGAATGTTCTTCTTTGAGTGAAGCCCACCTGACCTCGGGCAGTCCCTGCAAGGCCCCTGCCAACTACACCCTCCAGGCTGAGCCTGCTCTAGGATCTGGGGGGCTCTCAAAGGACCCAGGCCTGCAAGCCAACGACAATCGGGACAGGAAGCCAAGATTGGAGTACTGAACACTGGGCCAGCCCCCACGGCCTCTGGACAGACTTGGGGGTGAGGGGACCTGGGGCCCCCTTGAGATTTACTCTGTGGCTCTCGGGGCCAATAAAGCCAGTGTGATGATGAGGATCAGCTTGCTGGATGGTTGGGGGCTGAGGATGCCTGGTTCTGCGTGGGGTGGCTATAGTTGTGGGTTGTGTGGCAGGGGTGGGGGACTGCAGATGGAAATGTCCCCATGAGGCCTTCTCCTGCTGGGGACTTTCTTAGGGAGTTTCCCAGGAAGGCAGAGGACGGGGGAGCAGGGAAGCGGGGAGAGAGGAGGGATGCAAGCAAGAGAGACACCAGGCAGAGGGTGAGGCTGGGCTGGCTGGAGGGGCTGACTCCAGCCCCCAACTCTGTGACCCAGCAGCCCCCATTAGGAGCAGTCCTAATATCGGGAATCGTTTGTGGCATTTATTCTGTGCCGGGCTTGTAGATATCCTCTCACTGAATCCTGTGTGGTACAGAATGTTATCCCCATTTCACAGTGGTGGAAACAGGCTCGGAGAGTTTGGGGCTCTCTATCTCCGACTCCAGATGGCGGGTGAGTGACAGAGGAAATCAAAACCAGGTCTGTGTGGCTCTACCTCCGGCCCCCGCCCTGCAGCTTGGGTGAGGGGGCACAGGAGGCACACAGGGAAGGACCAGAGCTGATGGTGACCCCCAGAGCGGGGAGGGCTTTTCTGGAATCCTGGAACCCCTTACCCCGACTCAGACAACCCAAGGCTCGAAAGGCAGGCACCAATTCCCTTGTCTGGATTTCCTACCTGAAACAGGGACCTCTCTGAGCCCCCAGGTTTCTGAGGTCTCCTGGTGACTCTTGAGAGCATCTCTCTCATGGGGAGATGGGGTGCTGTCCTGGGTACAGATTAGAAGCGACTGAGCCCTCACCTCTGGGCTTCTCCAGCTGCCCCCTTGGATGGAAGCAGGAGGAGTGGGTGTATTCGTGGCCTCCATCAGAGGAACAGGTTTAGGGACCTGAAACCTCACTGTCCTTGTACCGTCCAAATACCAGAATTGCTGAGGCAAATGGCTGCCCTCTGGAGCCTTGGTCCCACCATCTGGATCATGGGTATAGGGAGAGAAGAGAGGGGCCAGTGACACTAGGGGTCTTTGGTGTGAGGGCCTGGAGGGTCTTATGTCCCACAAGGTGACACCCAGGGGGCTGGAGACCCCTTTGTCTGGCAGGCAGCCTAGTCCCCTCCAGAGGCCCTCCTTCGGGCAGGCGGCCACACTGACTTCAGTCTCTGACGCTCCCTCCTCCCTCGGCATGTCCCCTGGGGCCTGGGAGGAAGCGAGCCCGGCTGGACAGCCCCAACCAACTGTCTGGTTCCCACAGACTCCAGAGCCGGGGTGGAGGGGGGACCTGCGGGGTGGGGGCTCACTGTGGTTGGAAGGGGTTGAGAAAATGCCTGGCCGACTGTGAGGTCACTCCCCACCCTGCCCTCTGGACCCCAGCCTGGAGCCCGTTGAGCAAGGGGAGAAGGAGAGAGGGTCTGTCCTGTGGCATTGAGGCAGCGTCCCTGGTGAAGGTGGCGGAGAAAGGCGTGTGTGTGCGGGGCTTGGGCCAGGAGAGAGAAGGAGGCGCCCGTGTAGGTCAGCATGTCTCAGGGAGGGTGTGTGTGTGTGTGATGCACAGACAGACAGACAGTTACAGAGACAGGGGCAACCAGATTCAAGGGGTGAGGGTTCTCTCTCAGTTGGGTCAGGGAAAGACGCCTCTGCTGGGCACTGTTCCCTGTGGTGCATTCCTGTGGCGACCTGGTGACCTCGGTCCTTTCCCAGCCTGTGTCCTGAGCTAGTAGGAGGATGGGGAGGCTGCCCTGCCTTGGGGAGCCCAGGCCTCTGCATCCTGCCAGCCCTCCCTCTGAGGAGGTTTAGCATCTGCACTGGGGTGGGGGCTTGGGGAGAAAAAATCTGCGCCCCCTGCCCACCCTCTGCTCTGGGGGAACATGCAACAGGGTCAACCACACCCAGGTGCGCAGACTCAGCTCTGGGCATGAGCCCCCTCTCCACATCCCTCTCTGGCCTCCTAACATAGCTGAGAAGTGAAGACAGGCCCCCTCAGCCCCAACCCCCAAGCAGGACCCTGGGCCCAGTGCCTGCCTTGGACTCGCTCTATGAGCCTGGACCAGTGCCCATGATCTCTCTGGGCCCTGATTTCACTCCCTTTGCCCAGTTGGGGGTGGGCAGCCTGACTCTTTGAGTCTGGGTCCCACAAGAGGGTCTGACCTGGGGGGACGGCCTGGAGGAGATCCCATCCCCAGAGGTGCTGGATCAAGAAGACCAGACACCATGATCTCACATTGCCTTGTGCTTGCTGCCCAGCCCAGGGACCCCACCCTCTGGGCCTCCTGCCCTTGCATTCTTTCCATGGCCAACCGACACCCTCTGGCTCCTGCCTGGCCACCCCAACCTGGGGGGTGGGGGGGCGGGAGTGGACAGTGCTTAGCAAAGATTCAGAATGCTTAAACGGGGCCAACCCAGAGAGAGCACCTTGGCACAGATGGAGAGACCAAGGCCAGAGAAGGTCACACAGCAAGGCAGGAGCCGGTACCCACTCTGCTGCCTTAACTGTTTAGGTCTTAGGGGACAGGGACCATCCCCTCTGACTCTGCCTCAAGGACCTCCCCCCTCACTGGATGCTTGTCTGTCTCCAGTAGGAAAGCCCAGCCCCTACTCCTCCTCCTCAGTAAGTTAGAGTGAAAAAGGGTACTGAGTCATCTTGTAAAGTTAGGCTATGTCAAAATCTAAAATGATAGAATTGGTGGTATTTCAGAATATTCCAGAATTGTTAATCACAGCAGCTCAGATTCTTGGAATATCGCAGTTGAAAGGGCGTCTCCTGCCTGATTTCTGAATCCCCTCTACATCGAGGCGTGCATGTCACGTGGGCCTCCAGGAACCAGGAGGAGCCCGCTGCCTTCCCAGCCGAGTCTGGCAGCTCTGAGCCACCGGCAGGAAGTTCCTTACCTGCTGGTCCTTTGGTCTCTGCTCTCCCTGCCCCCAAGGAGGCTACCCCCACCCGCAGGGCCGGGCCTTCCTCCCCCGGCTCCTCCACCCTCCACGTCTTATCTCCCGCCCGCCCGTCCTCCCACCCGCTTCCTTCCCTGGTTTATAGCATTCCACTGCCCACACCCCAGACAGCGCCTGGGCCAGGGGCGGGGAGACCCTCTCCTGTGGAGGGTGGGGCGCTCCAAGGCCGCCCCAGGGATGAGGAAGAAGGGGGAGGCGGTGTCGGCCAGCCTGGCACGTCTGCCTGTGGGGAGAGTAAGAACCCAGGAAACCGGGGCTCAGCCAGAAAATCCCCTCCCCACACAGGCTCTCATCACCCCTGAAGGCCAGGCTGCCAGAAGCAGTAGGTACAGCAGCTCTGAGCAGGAGCTCTGGAGCCCAACTACCTGGCTTCACAACCTAGCTCTGTCACTTCCTAGCTGTGTGACTTTGGGCAAGTTGCTTCCCTCTCTGTGTTTTCCTCATCTATAAAATAGGGACACTAACAGTACCTCCCCCCGTGGGGTTGTGAGCATTACATGAGTTAATATTTGCAAAGTGCTTAGGACGGGGTCTGGCACATGCAAACTGCCATAGAAGTGTTTGTTAGGTAAAATACAAAAATATTTGGGTCCCAGAGGCATATCCCCTTGGCCTGATTTACCCCCAGGGGAAGGTCCAGCAGCTGTGGAGGTAGGGAGTATAGGGAGTGGGAAGACTGCTGTGTAGACAGGCTTTGGATTCACTTCCCAGCATCTCCACTTCCTTGCTGTGTAACCTTGAGCAAGTGGATTCACCTCTCTGAGTATTGGTTTCTTCATCTGTTAAATGGCGCCAATGATTTCAACCCCCAGGACTGGTAGGTGGGAAACCTTGTCTTGTGCACTTCGTGTAAGATTCAGTCAACGAGGAATGAAGTTAGAGCATAAAACAGCTGCCCTGGAGGGCCTCGTGCCCTCAGCCCTTTCCTCTCTGCGCCTTCCTTTGCAGGTGGCAAAACCTCCATCCTGCAGGTCGGGAGGTACCTAGCCACTCGCCCCCCACTCTGTTCCCACCCTGCTGGTAAGCGGGCCATGACTCAGCCGGTGGGGCCGAAGAAAGTGGTTCCAGGCTAAAAACAGGCCAGAGGCCATTTAATCACACCGTCAGCCAGACCCTGCCTGGGGCCCTGGAAAGACCTCCTGATCACAGCCCCCAGGGTACCCTGGTCTCCCTGGGGTACAAGAGGCCACCCCTGTGTCTCTGAGTCAGGGAAGCTGACTCCTCGGCCCTTCCAGAATCCTCACTCCCCGCAGCTGACTCCTCCGCATCCAGTGCCGCCTGCTCAGCGTCACCTCCTCAGGGAAGCGCCCTCACCACCTCGTCTGACTAGGTGCTCTGACTACTCTCCGTCTCTGCATCCTACTCGTTTCCTCCGCATGGCATCTGCTGCGATGTGGAATTACACATTTCCACGTGTACTCCCTTTTCATTGTGTCTTCGTCTTAGAATGCAAGCTTCAGGGAGCAGGGTGGGGTCCGCCTGACTCATTTTACCCACTTCCCTAAGCAGGGGACCCGCACCAGCAGGCCCTCAGGAAAGGTTTGCTGAGCGGACGAATGGATTCATGGCCCCCATTCATCCATTCGCCATGGACTGAATCTCAGACAACCGCAGGAGCTCCTGGTTCCCTCAGAGCAAAAGCCCAGGTCCCACCAGCCCGTGTGACCCGGCTTCGTCCCCTCCTGCCCTCCCCTCACCCACTCCAAACAGCTTTGCACGTGTTCGTCCTTCTGCCTGGAACAGTCTTCCCCTAATCCCCTCGGGGCTCCCTCCCTCACGCCCTTTGGTCCTGTCCTCAGAGAAGCCCGCCTGACCAGCACATCCCCCACGTGCCCACCAATGCAGCCTAAAGTCATCACTGCCATTCAGCGTCTGTCTCCCGCTTAGAACGACACTCCGTGTGGCCGGGGATTTTTGTCTGTCAGCTGCTCGTCACCAGCACCTGGAACAGTGTCTGCTACATAGCGGGAGCTGAGGAAATAGTTGTGGAACAGACTCAGCAGCCCGTGCCAGGAGCTCTATCTACGTGTCTCATGTAAGCCCGTGTTAGCCCTGGGAGGCAGGTGCTATCTTACCCCAGACAAAGGCTCAGAGGGGCAAATAAGTAGATTCGAACCCCGTTCTGTCTGACCGGCATCCAGCCTCTCTGTCATTAGTTTGTCTCTCCAGAGCTATATGAGATCCGCGTCTCCCTCCCCGTCCCCACAATCTTCACAGCCTTTCGAGCAGACCGGGCCCAGCCTCCCCCGGCCTCCCTGCCTCCAGTCTCTCTCTGCTACTCACCTCCCTGGCTGCAGGGATCCTTCTAAACCACAGATCTGACCATGTCCCTCCTTTGCTCAAAACCCTTCTGTGGCTCCCTATTGCCCTGATTCAGCCTGGCATTTGGGGCCCATGCCAACTTCTCCAGACTTGTTTCCTGCTTCCTTATATGTCAAAACCCCACTGGAATGCTCCAAGATAAGCTTGTTCTCAGCTTCAAGTCTTTGGACATGAGATCCTCTCCGCCCAGAACACCCTTCTTGCTCTATCTGGAAAAGGCCTGCTCCTTATTTGCTCTCAACTTGGACGTCACTCCCACTGGAGAGAAGAGAATAGGGGTTCATGTCTTCTTCCATGTCCTTCCAGCTTCACCCTGATCCCCAGCCTCCCACCCTCTGGGATTCCAGAGGCCGCGAGCTCCCTGAGGGTGGGGACCGTGACTAACTCATCTCCAGGCTCTAGGTTGGGGCCAGGCCCAGAGCAGGGACTGAATAAATAGCTGTGATGTGATTGGATGTGTCAGAAGTCAGACTGCCTGCTTTGCATCCTGACTCCTCTATTTACTGGCTGGGAACCCATGGACCTGTTCATAAACTCCCTGTGCCTCAGTTTCCTCACCTTTGAAGTGCTGGTAATGAAAACACCCATCCATCATGTGGGGATGAAATGAGTTCACCCAGGGGAATCACTTGGTACAATCCTGGGAGCTCAATAAAGAACAGCACTGGGGTGAAGGAAGGAACAGGTGTGTGGGCAGCTGCACGAAGGGGATGTGGTCCAGGTGGGCACATCCTTCAGGACAGCGCGGGCTGCTTCACACCCTCGAGGCAGCCCTGTTACTGGCTGTGGCTTTTCCCACCGCTGCCCTGTTGGGTCCAAGGTGGCCAGTGGAATTCGAGGCCACTGGACGCAGACAGGAAAAGACAGCGTCACCAGCCCTGGTGTAATCCAAACCAGATGCGGCCTCGGACCCATGGGGGTGGTCACTGAGGGCCTGGCCGAGGCCCAGAGGCAGGAAATAGTCTTGGAGGAACGCTCTCTGGGCTGGGACCAGCCGGGAGGAGCTGTCCCATTGAGGGTGTTAACCCTTCTTAGCCCACAGGGAGGCCCAGGTCACCGTGTAGGGGAAGTTGGTGGCCCTGGCCCCATGGGGCACGGAGCACCTGGTGGCAGGTCACCGCGTCAGCATTGTGATGGGCACCACGTGGGAGGAGCCCACAACAACTCAGGAGGAGGCACTGAGGCAGGCAGGGCACACCCAGCAAGGCGCGGGGGACACTCACAGCCGGGCACCCGGGACTTGCAGAGCCCCAGCCCCAGAGCCTTGGCCCTGGCCCTGGCCCTGGCCCTGGTTCTAGCTGGCAAGCCCAAATCCACTGAGGATGCACGCCCTCTGTCAGGGTGGCTCCTAGGTGAGGAAGCTGCTTCCTCTGAGGCTGCCGGGAACAGGAGCTCTAGTGAAAGGGCTGGGGCTGGGGCCCAGGCCCGCAGAGAGGCAGGAACTCAGCCCCACACCAGAGCTGCTGCCTCAGCTTTTCCTGGGTGTGCTCTGTGGCCTTTGGAGGGAGCAAAATCTCTCTGAACTCCCATTTGCCCATCCATATCGTTCCCTTCAGGGAGGAAGGGAGGCCCAAAAGAGGCACCTGACAAATTAAAAAGAGCTTTCTACGAGGTGCTCCCGGGAGGGTGGGGGCAGAGGCAGTGATCACCCTCTTCTGCGGCTCTGGGTGGGCTTCCCATCCAGGACAAGTTAATTTGCTGTGTGGCCTTGGGTGAGTTACTTTCCCTCTCTGAACCTGTTTCCTCACCAGTCAAACACAGTGAATGAGCACCCTGTCCCATCTCCCGATTGTCACAATGGCCTAGGAGTGGCAGAGGAGAGCAGAGCTGAGGTGGTCGTTTTCATATTCTAGAGGAGGAAATTGAGGCTTGTGCTGGGAGTCAGGAGTCCTGGGTTCTAGTCCCAGCTGCGGCTGTCTGTGCTGAGGGGCTTTCCTCATTTTGGCCTCGGTTTCCCCAGCTGGATCCAGGCCCTGGATCTCTGCACTCGCTGGACCTCATTTCCTCCCCCCCAACCACGGCGGTGAGTCATCCCTCATCATCACGCTGTGTGGCCGAGGCTCAGCCTGGGTGGGGGCCAGCGAGGCCGAGACAACTCAGAGGAAATCACAGGCCCGGCCCAGCTGGCAGGTGGCGGGCAGGCGGTCAGGCGGGCAGGGATCCACGGCCCTGGGGGTCTTGCCCATAAGCACATCTCCCACCAAGAGCCCCACCCGGCTCCCCAGGGCCCAGCTCTGCCGGCTCAGACCCCAGAGTCCGCACGCCCCATCCCGTGTGGCACCTGCTACGGCAGGACTCTGCGCCCACCTGCTGGAAGAGGGCAGGGGTGTGGGTGAGGACCCTGGCCTCGCCCTCCAGCCAATGTTCATGGAGGCAGGTGCGGAGGGGGACTGTCAAGGTCTCAGTCTGCGGGCAAGTCCAAGATGCTCAGCAGGGGGCAGGCAGTGTAGCAGTTAAGAGCAGGGGCCTAGACTGTCTGGGTACAAATCCTGGCTGACCTGGAGCAAGCGGCTTAACCTGCCTGAGGCTTGGCTTCTCCATCTGAGGGATGGACACGAGGCCCGCCGGGCAGGGCCACCATGAGCAGTCGACGTGAGCACGAACACACGGGGCTGGGCCGGGGCCGGCGCCCAGCAGGTGCTCTGTGCGTGTGAACTGCCGTCCCTGCCATTCCCGCTGGAACCAATACGCCCCCAACAGGCGAACCAGCTGCCCCCCAGGCGGGTGGAGGCCCCCTCTGCATGGCAGGCCTGGGGCGAGGCGGGCTGTAGCCAACGGGAAACAGCAGAGCACGGGCCTCTCCCCGCAGGCCTCCTGGGAGACGCCCATCACTGCAGGCCCAGCAAAGGCGCCGCAGGCTCTGAGAGGCTCTGCTTACATCTTGTTCTGGCGAGAAGCAGCGGGGCTCATGGGCAGAGCCTTGCTCTGGGAGACAGAAGAGTTCCTTTCAAGCCCCAGCTTCTGACTTGTTGAGTAGCCTTCAAGTTCCTTCCCCTCTCTGAGCCTCGGGTTCCCCCTCCGTAAAATAGGAATAACAACATCCACCTCATCATCTTTCTGTGAGGAGTGAAGGAGTTAATAGACACGCAAGTGCTTAAAGAGAGCCTGGCTCACAGTCACTCAACAAACGCTGGCTGGTGCTCCAACCTCCCTCTCACAGATGAGGAAACGGAGGCACAAAGTGGGGAAGCAACCTGCCCAGATCACGCACTGGGCAGCCTGGCTCCTGGGGCTGCTTCGGTTACCACCATACCCCACGCTGATGGACGTCACTAAAGTGCCTGGCCTGCAGCAGCGCTCAGGGCTGGTGGCCACCTGGGACCCCACCCAAGTGCACACACGCACAGAGAAGGAGGCCATGTCCAACCTGTACATTTATTTACAAGGCACAAGCTGAGAGCAGATTGGGGGCTGCCTGACGGCCTTCCCCCTCCTCCTGGGCCTGCTGACCCCCTCATCTGAGGCCGTGGGTGACCCCTGGGAGGGGGGCCCAGAGTGGCGGTTGGGCCGGCTTGGCCCTCAGGCAAGCTCGGGGGTGGTCTCCTGTGTCCCCCAGGCTTCCCCTCTCCCTCTCCGCCAGGCCTGGGCCGGGCGTCCTCTCTCTCGCCCGGAGTTCCTGTGTGTTGGTGGTCGCGAGGAAGGTGGGCGGGGGGCCGGGCCTGGGCCAGATGGTGTGTGCTAGGCCTTATCTGTTGGGAGTGGGGAGGCGGGTGAGGGCACGGAGGTCCTCTTTCACAAAGCCTGCTCTGTCTGCCCGGGCAGCTGGGCCTTAGGAACCGGCCTTGCTGCCTTCCTGCCCCACCACGAGCCTCCTGGCCACAACCGCAGAAGCCCCACACGCTGGGACCCCCAGCCCTCCCACTCCAACTAGGAGCAAGCCCAGGCTGGGGATGCCCAGGTGGGGCCAAGCAGGGGTCACCAGGGCAGCAGTTCCAAGAGGAGGAGCCAGGCAGGGAACAACGGCCCGTGCATCTGGGCTGTGGCCGCTGGGCAGAGGCCTGTCCGGGGAGGCGTTAGCGGGATGGGGTCAGGCCACATGCGAGCGGCTCACATCGGGGAAGCAGTCGCTGCGCGGGGGGCATGGGGAGCCCCGAGCCTCCCAGCCTGGCGCAGCCTTGTCCCGGCCAGCCTGCCCTGGGGATCTGGCCTGTCTGCTCTGGCCTTCTGGGCTGTGTGGCCTCAGCCCTGGCCACTGTGGGGCTGCGTCCAGGCCTCAGCTGCTCCTGGGGCTCAGACCCCCAGAGCCATCAGGGCCCCCGAGCTGCTGATCTTCTTGAAGCGGTTGGCAGCGCTGACGGCAATGAAGTTTTTCTGGGGGATGAAGGAGAGGGGTTCTGGTCAGCACCAGGGCAGGGGAGAAGCTGTGGGACAGCTGAGCATCTCCTAAGGTCCCCTTTGTTCCAGAAGGGCCAGACGCCAGGGAGGGTGCAGTGCCCAAAATGGCCACAGGAAGCGCCATGACACTGCAACCTCCAGGATTCCCTCCCTCCTTCAACAGCTAGGTCAGCCAGACCTGAGTACCGCTGTGCTCAAGATGCTCCAATGGCTCCTATTTCCCTCCAAGTATAAGATAAACCCCTCACCATGGTCACAGTCCCTTCATGCCCTGCCTTCTGCTCCTCTCTGACCTCATCTCCCCTGCCCCCTTGCTCATTCCACTGTAGCCATACTGGCCACCTACCTGCTCCTCACACTCATCAACCATGTGTCTGCCTCAGGGCCTTTGCACTGGCAGTTCCCTCTGCCTAGGACACTCTTCCCTGCCAGTCCTGGAACAGCTCACCCCTCAGCTCTCTCAGGTCTCTGTTCACACGCTCCTTCTCAGTGAGCCCTCCCTGACGCCCCTATTTAGAGGGACAACCTCTCCCTTTGCACTCCTGACCATCCTTACTTATTTCTAGAGCCCTTCCTTGATCTCTTTTAATAACTCCCCACCTCCAACCGAAAGTAAGTGCACAAAAACTGAAGTCCTTAGCTTTTTGTCCATTAGCGTATCCCCAGTGCCTAGAAATAGTGGACACTCAATAAATATTTGTGAAATGAAGGGAGGAGGCCTGGGCTGGGGTGAGAGACCTTTTCCTGAGCCTGAGCCCCAGATGGACGCCCCTCCCCAGGGTGGAGGGGGTGGGTGGAGGGTCAGGAGACAGCCCAGGACAAAGAGAGAAAAGCCAACGCTGTTTTCCAGACAAGGCCTGGCCTGGGCGACAGCATCTGCCAAGGCAGGGCTGGTGGGGCCTGGTGCCAGGGGTTCCTCCTGCCCTGCAGCCCCGCCCTGCTCCCCACCGCGGTCCAGCAGTACCTTCCAGCGCCTCTTCATGAGGTATTTCTTAAGCAAGATCTGGGACTTGAGGCGGCGGTTACAGCGCTTGGCTTTCTCCGCCAGGTTGTTGAGCCAGGGGTGGGCGAGGCACTCGGCAGCGCTCATGCGGGCCCTGGGGGGGGGGGAGGGGAGGGGGATGGGGCGCGGTGAGGGTGGGCAGCACGTCCTTGAGGAACAGGAGCCCAGCCAGCCTGCTCCTGCCCTGATGGCACCTACACACACTGGGCCCGCACACACGAGGTTCCTGTCCCGCAGAGAGACTCACCTCTGGTCCTTGACAATGAGGTTGGAGACGAAGTCTTTGGCCTCATCTGACACCGCCTCGAAGGTCTCCTCGTCGAAGTACCAGTTGCCAGATAGAACATTGTTTAGGGTCTCTGTGTCATCATCTCCCAGGAAGGGGGAGAGGCCGCTCAGCCTGGAGGGAGGGGATGGCAGGGGGCAGGGAGGCGAGATTGGAGATGCTGAGTCACCCTTGGCGAGTCAGGGGATGGGGGCAGATCCTAAGATGCAGCACCGTGTGCTGTAAAGACCCCCAGCCTCTCCAGTGGGACAGACCTGGGTTTGAATCTGGCTGGGTGACCTTTGGCAAGTCACTTCCCCTCTCTGAGCCTCACTCTTCTCATCTGTAAAATGGGCGTAATCATCCCAGCTTCCCAGAGTTACGGTGAAGAAGAGGAATGATGAGTGCACAAAAAATGCCCACTGCCCCTCTGCGCCCACCCTGGGTGGTCAAAGTTCTGCTCTCCAGAGCCCGGGGCCAGAACACTATGCCCTTCGGGGCCTTGGTTTATTCGAATTATGACCGACTGCATATCTATACCACATTACCATATTATGTATAAAACAGGTCCACAGTGCCCCTTTCCTGGTCCTCCTTAGCATTCCCTACTCCCAGCAAACCCCTGACTGGGGGAGTGGGAAAGTGGGACCACCTCACCGGGACCCCAAGGCCAATCTTGGCTCAGCTGCCCCCCCAGGTGCCCCCACCCCGAGAACACCACACTCCCTCAGGGCTCACAGCATGTAGGTGATGACCCCCATACTCCACATGTCTGTCTTATCGGAGATTTGGTCGTAATTCACCACCTCGGGTGACAGGAACTCCGGGGTCCCAAAATTCACCTTCAGCTTCTCTTTGGGGTTATACCTAGGGTGAGACCAAGAGCTCAGAGCACAGCTCCCAGCCCGTTCCTGGGTGCCCTCCGCCCCTCCCCTGCCCCCTGCCCACCTCAGAGGCTCACCCTGCCCTCCCCACCCACCCAGGCGGTACCTCCGTGCCAGGCCGAAGTCGATGATCTTCACCAAGTGGCCCGTGGTGTTGACGCACAGGATGTTCTCTGGCTGAGGACAAGGGGGCAGCCTGCATTGGCCTCTGACCTAGCTCACCCTCCCTCCCCATCCAGGTCCACCCAAGGCCCAGGCTCCCTGAACCAGAGGCCCAGGCTGCCAGAACGGGCAGCTATCAGAGACCCTGGGGCCTGCCCGCTCCAGGCACAGATGAGGATCCTGAGGGCCTGAGAGGGACTCGTACAAGTCCTTGCAGCACAAGGCTTCTGGGTGGGTTCAGGGGGATTTCCTTTCACTTAAGGCCATGAGAAAACAACAGTGTCCTAGCAATTCTGAGAATGGAAAAAGCGACGGCTGCAGAGAAGGGCTGTGCCCCAGGGGGGAGGACAGTTCAGGGCCAGAGCTCCAGAGACCAGAGACCGAGACAGAAACCACCAGATCAGGGCTCCCAGAGGAAGGCTCTCGGGAGCGGAGGGCTCCTTGCTGCTCTGTGTGCACTCTCAGACGAGCTGCTCCTTCTTGCCACTTAGAGACGACAGCACCCACCAGACGTCAGGGCCCGCGTCATTGCTTTCCAGCGCTAGCTCATCAGTCCTCCCAACAGCTCTACGAGGCAGGTGCTGTCGCCATCACCCCCATCTCGCAGCTGAGCAAACTGAGGCTCTGACACAGAAGTGACCCAGCAAGTAAGGGCAGAGCCAGGACTTGACTCCACAACTGTCCAGCACTGGTCTCCTGACCTCACTTTGCCTGCCGTCGGCCAACAACGACCCATAGCGCACTCCACGAGGTGGGGGCTGGGGCAGACGGGACACGAGTGGGTTGGCTCTTCCAGGACAGGGACCATGTTCTCCTGGCCTCCTTGCTCCCCACCCTCAGGGTCCAACAAAGGCACCCAGTAGGTGCTCAGCCAAGGCCCCCCGGATTCCTGGGGCCCAAGCTCAGGTGAGCATGTGAATGCAGTTACTGTGAGGTTGGTCCCTCCCCACCCTGGGCCTCCACTTCCTCTTCATATAACACAAGGACACAGGACTAATCTGAGGTTGCAGGGCAGAAACATTTTAAATCATTAACAATGTTTAAAAAGGCAGGAGATTTCGCACAAAACTCCTGATTTCCTGATTTTGAGCACCTCCTCAAACACCGGAAGCCCCAGCCGCACGGCCACACACTGCTTGGACTGAGTGGCAGCTGAGCCCCTGAGATGGGGCGGAAGTCCTCCAGACCCCGGGACTCCACCACCCCAACCCGGCCCCTACACGGTCCCGTTATTTTATTTTCGGAGCTCTGTGGGCATTTGAGTTGCAGCCTCTAAGGAGGGGCTTTCTGAGGGCCCTTGTCGAGCTGCCGCGTTCACTCCCAGCTGGCTCCTGAAGACTTTAAGAGCTCCACCTGGCGTCCCACCAAGACAGGGAAGAAAGAGAGGGCCCAGGGTCCATGGTCCAGGGAAACAAGACAGACTCAGACCTCCTTTTGGAGGAGCCGGGACTTCCTGAGAAGCTGGGAGGCCTGGGAAATGGCTCACCCAACTTACTTGACTGTGAAAACCTCTTTTTTGATGAAAAACTTATTGTTAGCCCGAAAAAAAGCACATTCTTGGATGCAGAGGCTTGTGGCTGAGCTTCTTCCCAGGGCACTACGTTTTGGTTGGGGACCCCACTCTATCCCCAAAGAAAAGGGCTTTCCCGGGGGAAGGGCAGGCCTCCCAAGGCACCGCAGAGTCAGGAGTCACCCCTGCCCTCCCCTTTCCTAACCCCCAGTCCCTCCAAACCATCAGCACCCCAGCTCTGCTCTGTTTGCGGAACGTGCCCATCATCTGGCCACTCCCTCCCCGCCACTGCCACTCTGGCTCCAGCGCCCGTCACCTCTCTCCCGGCTTGTTACAACAGTCCCTGAATTTCCTGCTGCCACACTGGGCCCCCTCAAAGCCATGTGCCTGCCTCCTTGCTTCCCCGCGTGTCAGCGGGGATGACAGCGGCACGCCTGTCCCGGCGGGGCCGGAGGGAGGGCCGGCGCTCTGCGCAGCCCTGAGCCCTCAGAAGCTCGCTGCAGGGTGAGCCCGCAGCAGCCCCAGCGTCTCCTGGGCTGCTTCAGGCCTCTGAGCTCCGCCCTGTGCCTGCTTCTCCAAGTTCACCTTGTACGTCTCCCCACTACTCTCACATCCTACTTCCCCACACTTTGAACCGTTTCAAATGATCTATTTATTTGGTTATTATTTTATAAATGTCTGTTTCCCTGACTAACCCTGTAGACCCCCTTAAACAGGGGTGTGTCCTTCGTCATCCCTATGGCAACGCCCGTGCCCAGCACAGCGCACAAGCCGGTACTTGGTATATGTCTATTGAATGAGTGAATGAAAGGACTAGCCACTTAGCTGTGGGTGCTAACCCTACCCACCCAGCGTTCATATCCCATCTCCTCCACTGGCCTTGCCACTTATCCCACAGACATTAACACCTGCCGTGAGGACGCTGCTCCCGCCTACTCCACACCGTGCCCACGTCACCAAGCTCCAGGCAGCCACTACCGGTTGATCAGAGCTGGTGTGACACATAAACCCTATTTGCTCCCCCTGACCTGCCACGTGCAAGGTACCGGGCAAGGTCAGAAGAGGGACATAAATGTTCTTTCATTAAACATTTCTGTTAGTGCCTATCACGTAGGTATTGCTGCGCTGACACTATACGTACTGATTTGTTTTTCTGACTCCCCTTCTAGAAGGTAAGCTCCATGAGGGCAGGCATTTTTATCTATTTTGTTCACCACTGGCTCTCCACCACCTGAAACACTGCCTGGCATACAGTGGGCCCTCAATAAATACGTGTTGAATAAACGGACATTCACAGTGCCTGTCGGCGGCCGGCCCTGAGGCAAATGCTTTTGCAACACTTACTAGCAAGTTCTGTGTGTGAGACACTGAGCTGGGGGCTCACGGCACTGCAAGAGACCCTGTCAACAAGTACCCAGTCCTAGACCAGGAGTCCTGAGAATGGGACCAAGTCTTTTTTTGTTCTCTGTTGTATCCCCAGCTCCTGGTACTTAGTAAGTGCTCAATAAATCCTTTTTGAGTCTACAGATGGAAGGATGGATGGAGGAAGAGGAGGAATGACTGGAGGATGGAGGCATGGCTGGCTGTGACGCTGACTTCAGGCGGTAGGATGCTGCTCCCGACCCCTCCTGGGAGGCCCCAGCTCCAGTACCTTGAGGTCCAGGTGCAGAACCCTCATCTTGTGCATGAAGAGGATCCCATCGCAGATCTGCCTGACAAACACCATGGTGTCCACCTCAGTCAGCTGGTAGTCCTCATCCACAATCCTCTCGAAGAGCTCGCCGCCCTCGATGCTGTGTGCACAGACCCCTCTACAGGCTTGGTTCTGGGCCCACTGGCACCCCCACCCGGCCCCCTGCCCCCGCTGCTGGCACTCACTACTCCATGAACAGGACGATCTCGTGAGAGGTCTCGATGGCTGCATAGAGCTGGATCAGATTGCGGTGGTTCAGCTGGTTCATGACCTCGATCTCGAGCATCACCATTTCCTGGGGACCGGGGGAGTCAGGGGTACCATCTGGGCATCATCACTCTCTGCCCTCCATCCGCTGCACCGGCGCCCTTGACCAGACCACTGCCAGCCTCCTCCTCCATGGCCCCTTGCCTCTCCTCTCCCCACCTCCAAGCCTGTGTGCTCACCACCCCGCCATTCCTGGTGGCTCACCTTTCCTCCGCTGGTTTTCCTCTCCTCTTCCTGACTGAAGATGGGGATGCCCCAGGACCCAGTGGTCCCTGCTCATCCCTCCCGTCTCTACAGTCTCCCTGTCATTCTCCTCAAGTCCCATGACTTGACATTCCATCCAACTGTGATGGACTTTCAAGTACATGCCTCCGCCTCGAGGTGCTCCCTTGAACTCCAGACGCCCGGATCTCCAACGGCCTAACTGCCATTCCCCTTGGATGTCTAACAGGCATCTCAAACCTATCATGTCCAAAATTAAACAATTGATGCTTTTTCCCCACAATCGAGTTGGCCTCAGCTTGCCCATCAGCTAAAGGGATACCACTCTTGCCCCAGGTGGGCAGGACAAAAAGTTAGCAGCTATCCCAGCTTCCTCTCTTATCTTCGCTTCCTCCCACCCCCCATCAGTAAACCCTTTGACACTACCTTCAAACTAGATTGCAAATCCAACAGTTTCTCACCTCCTCCACCACTGCCTACCTAGTCTAAGCCGCCATTATTTGTCACTTGCAGAAAGTTGGCAAGCCAGTTGTCACACTGGTAGCTTGAAATCAGCCGTGGCAGGAATATTTACACCAGGGAAATCGGCGAATCCTACAAACCAGACCCGCCCCCCAGAGCGTGGTATCGTCCCCCCAATGGCTCTGTTGCTCCATTATTCCACTGCTTCGTTCCTACCTCACCCTCCAGGCCACTTCCTCGGAGAGGCCTGGCCTCACCACCCTATCTGAAAGGCCTCTTCAGCCCCACACTCCCTGGCCCTTACCTGGCTCTATTTTTCTTCCCGGCACTTCTCAGTTCCTGAGACTATGCCTTTTGTTTTGTTTGCTTTCTAACCATCTGTCCCTCTTCTCTAGCATGTCAGCCCACCAGGACAGGGACTTTTTTAGTTCACTGCCATTTCCCTAGCACCTGGAAGAGTGAATGGCGGAAGAAGTGCTCAGGAATCACTTAACCAGTCGCTGCCTCCAGTTAGTGTAGACAGCACACGTGTCTTGGGCATCTACGCTGAGCCAGGTCCATGACAGAGGCCTGGAGACCCAGCAGTCAATGGTACGGGCCCAGGCGCTGTCAAGGGGAAGAGGCAGAGAAAGACAGAGCCACAGAAAACTCGTGCCTTCCAGATGTGCCTCGCGCCGTGACAAGAAGGCAGGGCTGCCGCAGCTGGAGCTGCCTCTCAGGCTCTTTCTGGGCTCCGCGCCACCGCACGTGCAGGCCCTGCCTGGAGTGCCCATAACCTCACTTCTCCTCGCCCCGGCTCAGCTCAAAGGCTCCCAGCAGGTGCCTGCCGTTCCGGCCCTCAGGCCTTTCCTTCCACAGGCCCCTCTGCTTGAAACTCTCTTTCTGGCCTTCTCCACTGGAAAATAGCTCCTCCTTCTTCAGAGCCGTCATTCAGGAGACGCAGGTTCAGGATGCGTCCCTGACCCCAGGGCTGGGTCGGATCCTCCTCTGCCCCCTTCTGCCCCTGCCCTAGCTTTCCCAAGTTACAGCTCTCACTACACAGGTTCCAGGTTGTCATCACCTCCTCACACACCCGGCTCCCTCACTCCCTGTGGCCTCTACCTGCATTCATTCATTCATTCATTCATTCATTCATTCCTTGAACAAACACTGCCTTCGCCTCCTCCGAACTACGCCCAGGCTGGGTGCTGGAGACACCCTGGCTCTCCTGAGGGCGGGGCCCACATTCGCTTCACACTGGGCCCCCCACTGCCCAGCCCGGGGCCTGCCCCAGAGCCTGCACTCATCAGTGTTTGCTGAATTGAACCAAACAGAGGGCATAGAGATCCCATGCCTAGAAGGGGAAGTCCCCAGGATAAGTCCACTAACTGAGGGGTCTGCTCTACGGTTCGGGCATCAGGCCCTGGGGCAGGGCTGTCTGTCTATCTGTGTGACACCTCCAGCGCATCAGGGCTCGCATGCCAGGGTCCCAGCGCAGACATGGGGGTGGAGTGAGCTGAGAGGCACCCACTCGAAGGATCCCCTCCCCCTCCTAGGATCCAGCCCCCACTACCTTGTCTTTGGGCGTCTGTTTCTTGATAACCTTGGCTGCCAACTTGAGGCCTGTGGCTTTCTCTGTGCAGGTGCAGACTGCTCCAAACTTGCCGCTGGAGAGAAAAGAGGCTGGGAGTGAGGGGGGCGCGAGGGGCACAGGGCTGACGGGGCCCTGGGCTCTGTTCTCATCTGGATCCTCATCTGAGAGATGGGGGCACTCGCCCCAGCCAGCCCTGACTCCCTCCTGAAGCTGTGAGCTCTGCTGTGGGGACAATGGCTGAATCACACAAACCAGGGGCGCAAGAAGTGTAGGCCCATCCGAAGGATGGCCCCTGAGATGACAGCTCACAGGCTTGTGGCAGGTAGGGACCCTGGGGCTCTGGGCCCCTAGGGAGGGCAGCTTCAGGGCTTTTTACAAAGCAGGAATCACCTTGAGAGGGTGAGTGTGGTGCCTGAAACTGAGAGACAGTAAAATATCGTGTGTTTCCTGCAGGAAACACCAAGTGACTGATGGTGTGTCTGAGTGACAGTGACGTGAGTGCATATCAGCCTGTGTAACAGCTTGCGCACAAGGGGTGTGACCCCATAGAAGTAATTATGTTCACATGGACATGTCCACTTGGGGTGTGTCTGGGCCTTGAATGGAGAAGACATGAGGCCCTGGGGGCTCGGTGCTCTCCTGCCTGTGGGCCAGGGGCTCGGGGTCCCAGCTCTCACCCGCCCAGCGCCTCCTTGGAGTTCAGGCTGAATTGACTGCTGACATTCCCGGGCCTCAGCTCCACGATGCGGTGGGGGAAGGGGGCTGGGGGTGGCGGGCAATCATCTGGGGAGGCAGAGCAGAACCATCACAGTCAGTGCTGGGGGCTGCTGAGGATTCACGCTGGCACTACCCCCTCCTGCCTGGCCTGAGTCCCCATCCAGGGAAGTTCACCAAGTGATACCTGGGGGACAGGTGGCTCCAGGATATGGGCTAGGGGGCCCAGATTCCAATTTCAGCTCTGCCACCAACACACAGAATAGCTTTGGAAGGCCTCTGCCTCTGTCAGAGGGGGCTCAGCTGCTCCCGGCACAACAAAGGGGATGGCTGATTGGACTTCGACCCTCCCACATTATAAGGTATGAAGACTCCATCCCAAGCTGTCCGCATTTCCATTAAAGAAAAAAAAAAAGCAACTATCATGGTAGAGTTCTAGATCGGGGTTGCTAGGTCTGAATGATGGGGTAGGTGGTGGGACCTGCCCACGGTCCCCTCTAACACCACCACAAGCTGGCCTGACCTGTGGAACGGGCGTCCAACCTGGGCCGAGGGAGGAGACAAGGACGGAGATGTTTGGTAGGGAGAGGCTGCCACCTAGCGGCAACCACGGGGAACAGCGGGCCCTGGCGGCCGACAGGCTGAGTCATCGGGAATGGAAACCTCTTTATAAATAGTAAGAGGCTGCAGGGATGCCGGGATGGCGATAAATCAGACGGCTCTTGGAGGTTGTTCAGGTCCCGTTACCCCGAGGATGTGATTTCGGGGCGGGGCGGGGCGGGGCGGAGGTCTCTGCCGCTGCTCTGCTGGGGGAGGAGGCAGGGCTCCTGGCTGCCGCCCAGCCGCCAGGCCCTCCCACCCTGTCTGGGTGGCTCTGTGCCGCTCACCAGGCAGACTGGCGGGTCTCCCAGGGCACCTCGGCCTGGAGAAGGGGGGCTGTCAGGACATTCTGGGCTCTCCTGACCCCATCTCACCCCACCCCCACCCCTGTCGGACCCCTGCCCAGGCCCTCTCCCTATTCACCTGTTGGCCAAGCTCACTCATGCTCATGGGTCCCTGGTGCCGGCTGAATAATCCACTGACTCCTTGTCTGATCGTTAGTTAAGGCCACTCCACAGCCCTGCCCCATCTATCTCACATGCCCAGCTTCCCTGGTCACTGCTCCCGCACACAGACACCTGTGCTCCTCAGCTCACCAACCCTCTGTGGCTCCCTTGACCCTTCTCAGCCCCTCCAGAACGCAGTTTAACTGCCAAAGCCTGGCATTCGAGCCCTTCCACACACTGACTTCATATTCCACTATCTAGAGAGTTGGTGTTGGTCCAATAACCTGACTGATTTTTTTTCAAAACCCCATTTTAGACAAAGTAGAAGAAAGTCAAAAGTGAGCCCTGGAGCCAGGCTTGTTCTGACAGGTTCAAATCCCGTCCCAGCTATGGATTTTTGGACACTCACTCCATTTCCCCTTTTCTGAGCCTCCATTTTCTCATCTATCAAAAAGGAATAGGAACTTGTACTTCCTGGGGTTGTGTGACACTTGCATGGATCTGCCTGGGTGAGGCAGGGCTCAGAGCAGTGCAGTCCTCTGAACAGGGAGACATGGGGGTCCCTTCCCTCCTCCCTCAGCCCCAGGGCAGCCCCAGCGCCCACCTGCCCCTGGCCTACCCAAAATCTGGAAGCAGTCCTCCTCCCTGGCGGTGGGACAGAGGGCTTGCCCCACCTCCGATTTCTCCGAGGGAACAGCCTGGAACTCGATCCCCCTCGAGGTATCCCCTTGCACCTTAGCCTGGCCAGCTTGGCCTGGGGCCTTCTCTTCTGCTTCCTTCTGGCTGCCTTCCGGGATGTTCTTCCCTCCTTCTGGTGCCTTGGCTGGCCCAGGATCTGTGGGGCCAGGGGTCTCCGGCACCCCTTCAAAGATGAGCTCCAGTGCCTCATTTGGGGGCTTCTCAGCCAGCAGCTTCTCAGAGCTAGAAGGGGGGAACACAGAAGTGACACCCTTAGCAGCCACAGCCCCTCTGCGGCCTCCAGCAGGATGCTTCCAGATCCTCATCTGCGATCTGGAGTTGATACAACCCTGCTCCCTGTCCCAAACTCCCAGGATAATGTATCTGAAGCCACTTTCAGCAAAATCGAGGGATGTTAATAATAACATAAATGTCTGTGGTCATTATCTTGACTACCAAAGCACTAATAACTATTAGTAGGATTGTTGATTTGGTTAACCATTATGTGGATTCAATTAGGGAGATTATGTAGCTCTCGATTCATAAAAACTGTGGCGATACAATTGATATTAATACACAAATCAAACTGATATGGTGTTATTGTTGTGGTTTACAAAATATCACTAATAACCTCATTAACATGATTAGCATTCAGGTAAGTATAACTGGTTCCATCATAAGCCTGGTGCTAGATTATGGTTATGCAAGTATTAGTAATGATATACCAATCCGGTTGTTAGTCATCTTTCCGTATTACACTGATAATTATATTAAGAGGAAGTGTTCTCCTTTCCTCCCGCATCTCAGCCCTGCCCTTGGCTAGACCCAAGTTCACAGAGTAAGGGGAAGTCTGGACTCCAGACGCCCAGAGAAGAGGTCTTTGAGGACCTCTCCCGTCTGACATTTCAGGCTTCTATGAACTATCACGAGGTCTTGGTTTCTGCAGCGGGACAAGGAGGTCAGACCAATGCCCAGGACAGAGGAGCTGAATGTCAGAACTACCCAATCCAGCACTGAATGTGATGACAACGATGCCCAAGACACAGGAGCTAAGCACAGGCCCTGGGGACAGAGCTGCAGGACCCTTCTCTGCTCCCAGGCAGGGGACCTTCACCTCGAGATGGCGGCAGGACAGCTGGGGCTGTGCAGAAAGGCCGGTGAGCCCCTCCTGGCTGCTGTTTGGCCCTCAGCCTCTTTCTTGTGCACCTTGGACTCTGCAGGGTTCTGGCTGCCTGAGGTCCCCTGCTCGGCACTGGGCTTCCTGACGCCGGCCTCAGCCGTTGCAGTCTGCTGGGGCAGGGCTGCCGGCTGCCCAGCACTGCCCTCCGCAGGCCCCCCACCCAGGTCGCCTTCTCCCTCCGGGCCCTGGCTGCTAGGTGAGGGCTGGGCCGGGGCACCATCTCCTTTTGCTAAGGGAGGGGCTTTGGCATCTTTCTTCATGTGGAGTGGATCAGATTCTTTCTTTGCATCTGAGGAGCCAGGTTCTTTCTTTGCTTCTGGGGCTCCAGGTTCTTTCTTTCCTTCTGGAGCGCCAGGTTCTTTCTTTCCTTCTGGGGCTCCAGGTTCTTTCTTTGCATCTGAGGCTCCAGGTTCTTTCTTTGCATGTGGGGCTCCAGGTTCTTTCTTTCCTTCTGGGGCTCCAGGTTCTTTCTTTGCATCCGAGGCTCCAGGTTCTTTCTTTCCTTCTGGGGCTCCAGGTTCTTTCTTTGTGTCTGGGGCTCCAGGTTCTTTCTTTCCTTCTGGGGCTCCAGGTTCTTTCTTTGCATGTGGGGCTCCAGGTTCTTTCTTTCCTTCTGGGGCTCCAGGTTCTTTCTTTGTGTCTGGGGCTCCAGGTTCTTTCTTTCCTTCTGGGGCTCCAGGTTCTTTCTTTGCATGTGGGGCTCCAGGTTCTTTCTTTCCTTCTGGGGCTCCAGGTTCTTTCTTTCCTTCTGGGGCTCCAGATTCTTTCTTTGCATGTGGGGCTCCAGGCCCTTTCTTTGCATGTGGGGCTCCAGGTTCTTTCTTTCCTTCTGGGGCTCCAGGTTCTTTCTTTGTGTCTGGGGCTCCAGGTTCTTTCTTTCCTTCTGGGGCTCCAGGTTCTTTCTTTGCATCTAGGGGCCCAGGTTCTTTCTTTGCATCTGAGGGGCCAGGTTCTTTCTTGGCATCTGGGGGCCCAGGTTTCTTCTCTGGGTCTGGGGGACCAGGGTCTTTCTCTGGAGCTGGGGGTCCTTCTCCTGCTGCCCCTTTAGCTGCCTCGTCTGCAAAGGAGGTGAGACGCCGGTCAGGATCCACCCACCTTCCCCTCCTTCCCCAGCCAGGCTGGCCAGAGACCAACTCTGGGCCCAGATCCCCACCCCAGCAACAATTTGGAAATGCTTCTCCTTTGGAGCCCCTGGGGCCACTTGGTGGGCTCTAGAGATGGGCTGCCAGGGCCTTGGAGGCCTTGTGTGGGAGGCCTCTGGTCCTCTGGTAGGCATTGAGGCCCCCTATCCCTTGCTCTGAGTGTTTAGATACCATCCATGGGGGCTTCACATTTTCCCAGTCTCTCCAGGAGGGCTCCTCTAGACCCTTGGCCCAGCCCAACCCTACCCAGAGACAATTCTGATTTCTGGGTCCCCCATGTGCCATACGAAGAGGCCTCAGGCACGGAACTCCCACTGAGGACCTGGCCCAACCCTGGATTCAAACACCCCTTCCCAAGCTCCACCCTCCATCTCCTGCCCCAGCTTAGCACCTGTTGACGGGCTGTGGATTCCCAGCTCGGCTGCTCCGTTTTCTGTCGCCATGAGGTAGGGAGGCGTGTGCTTCTGCTTGTCTAACTCAAGTATTTCTAGCTGCAGAAAGAAGAGTGAGGTGTGTCGGGCTGTTGGATTCCTCCTCTTGTCTGGCCGAGAGGAGGCCACGGCCAGCTGACTGAAGGGAGAGAGGTACCTGGAGCAGAGAGGGGCAACCTGGTGGCCGTCTGTCTTGCGGCGGCTGCCCAGGAGCAGTCCTGGGGCAGTTGTAAAGGATTGGGCTGGGTGGGCAGAGGCGGAGGCAGGGGCGCAGGCAGGGGAGGCGGGGACGGGGGAGAGGATCTCTTACACCAGGGGCCATGCAGCTTGGACTGCCACCACCTGTCACTCTTGGCCCCTATTCAGAGGACATGGCATTCTTCCCATGGACCGACTGGGGAGAGAGTGGTGTTGGAACAAGCAGGAAGAGAAAAGGGAGGGGGCACCTGGGGCCCTGGGGGAGCAGCCTTTTGCAGGCCTTGCCTGGGATCGCTAGCTTGGACAGGGGTGAGGGAGGGGGCCTGCAAGAGGAGGGGCTCTCGGGCAGGGCTCACAGGCAAGACTCTGCCCAGGCTGGGCCCTGGCTCTGCTCACCTGTGTGCTACATCTCCTGGGGTCCCCCAGAACCTGGTTAGAGCCCCGCAGGCCCAGGGATAATCACCCTAGCCCCAGGGCCCAGCTCCGTGCCCACGATCCCTGGCCCTGGCATCTGGACCTACTTGGAGCATCTTTGGGTAAGAAATTGTCTTGGGGGCACTTGCTCAACATGCCCTTGGGCCTGAAAGCCTTTTCTTTTGAAAATGTGTTTTTCTTGGTCTCCTGGGGAGATGGAGGCTGCCCCAAGGACCTGTGGGAGAGGGTCAGTGCTCTTGCGTCCATCCCTGGAGCTGGTCCGGGTCTCTCCAGTGGCCCCCCTGGAAGGAGGGAGTTGAAGGAGTCTTTTCCAAGGGTCGTCCCCCACAGCGGTGACCCGGGGGCTGCTCCAGCCTGAGGTGTTCAAGCCAAGACGGCATGGGGTGAGGTATGACCCAAAGGGCCTTCCATCACCCAGAGGCTGTCTGCCCAGAGCTTTTCTCTGAGGGGGGCCTTGAAAACTAGCCTGAGCCCAGCGCATTGGAAATAGCTCTGGAGTGGGCGTCTGGGTTCAGTCCTGACTCTGGCAAGCCTCAGACCCTCTAAGTATCAAATGGAGGAAACAACCCCTGCCCTCCCATGGGAGAAGGGAGGGGGACATGACCCAAGAACGCAGCACGTCTCAGCTATGGGAAGTTATGTTGCTGTAAAAGAGACTGAGGAAGCTGTGAATGAACAGATAGGAGGCAACCCCCAAAGTAGGGGAAAAAAACAAAAACAAATCCAGGTGCAGAATAGCCTGTAGAGTGTGCTCGCATTTGAGCAAAAGGGGGTAAAATAGATAATATTTGACATCATAATATAGAAATTTTCACTTTGTATGCACAAGAACTTCTTTGGCAAGATAAGTGAGACACTGGGGTGCAGGGGTGGGAGGGAGACATCACTACATACCCTTTTACTTCTTTATTTGAACCATGAACTATGTGAACAGATTATGCAAAATGAGAGATTGTTTTTTAAGTGAGCAAATGTTGGGCATGTTGGTACAGGCTGCTGAAAACCAGAGTTGGAGCTCCTTCTCCCGTCTCATCGACTTCTGCTCTGCCTGGCCCTCCTCTTCGGGCCTGGCCCTCCCCTCCTCCATTTCTCTCCTTCAAGGTCTGGTTGACAGCCTGCCTCCTCCAGGAAACCAAAATACTTACTAATGCCTGCGTAGCACTCGCCACATGCACCAGGCCTCCTCCTAAGTGCTCTTATGTGGATTCCCTCATATGATCTTCACAACAAGCTGATGGGGTAGGATGATTACAGATGGGTAAACTGAGGCACAGGGAGGTTAAGTAACTTACCCAAAGCCATTTGGCTTGTAAGGGACTGAGCTGGGATCTGAACCCAGGCTCTCTGAAGGGAAGGGAGCTCCCATTTTCCCAGTGCCTGCTCTTAGCTTTATCCGTGTTTTCTTAAAACATCGTCTTGATAATAACTCTGTGAGGAGTTTCCAGCCTATTTTCTAGGTGAAGATGGAGAGGATCAAAAGAGTGGGTAAGTCGCCCAAAGTCACTCCACAGGGAAGGGATTTGAACCAAAAAGGTCCTTCTTCAAAGCCCAAAGTCCTCTTTCTTCTCTGAAATTTCCTCGCCCTTCCCTCCCCACTGGGTACCCCCTTTATGGGTCTCACAGCATTCTGAAGGTTGAAATGCTTCCTGTCCAAGCCTATTATCCTGACTCCCTGGCCGTCTGTTTGGTGGTCCCCACATCGTATTCTGGTTTAGCTTGAAATGTCGACTGCCCTCCTCTGGCCTCCTTTAGCTCCAGGCTGATCCCACCACTGACACTGTCTGGGAGCCTCTCCAGGGCAGAGGTTGTTCAATGATGCCCACGTGTGTCCCCAGCCAATCAGTGTTTGGTGAGTAAATAACTGAGGGACCAGCAAGGCTGTGGACTGGGTTTGTGGGAGTTTTCTACTAGAATGGCCCTGGCAGACGTCCCCTTTTATCACTGTGGTTGTCGATACCGATCATTTATTGAGTGCCCGCTAAGGGCCAGGCCTGGCTCTGCCAAAGGCTTTACCCAGCTCATCGGATCTTCACAAGGGACTCTGGGGGCCAAGTGTTAGACCATTGTGAAGGTGCAGAAACTGATGCTGAGAGAGGGTAACAGGCTCATCCCTGAAGTTGCACAGCTATTGCATAGCTTCAAACTATCCAGAGCCACCTGCCAATGAGACAAAAGTCCAGGCTGGGACAATATAAGTGGCTTTCTTTGCTACATTTGCTACTGTTATGATTCCCAGATAACTAGCGTTTCTTGAACTTTTCCTAAATGGGGCAGGCCCTGGGGTCAGCAACCTCATGAGTGTCCTCCATTCACACCTTACAGCATTCCTCTGGAGGAGTGGCCGAGGAGCACTGTGGGTGGAGCTCTGAGACTAACTGTGAGGCCTGGGCAAATGCCCTTGCTTGTCTCCTCATCTGTAGGGCGAGACCCTCCTTCGAAGGGGGAGGCTGATAAAGCATTTAGAACAGTGTGTGGGTACTTAGTAAGTGCTGTAGAAATGTCAGCTATTTCATCCCCATTTCCCAGATGTGACAGGAAAACTGATTCACAGGGCAAAGTCAGAGCTGGGTGTGAACCATTGAACCCAAGGCTCACTCATAACCGCTCTGCCTGGTTGCCTCTCTCCTGGGGTGGCTGGGAGCATTTAGCGAGCACGTGTACGTAGAGTGCTTGGCACAGTACCCACGGCACTGTGGGGTCTCAGTAATGTTGTGGACACCTCAGGTAGAGGGCTTAGCTATCCCCGCAGGCTCCTCCCGCTGGGATAAGAGGCTGGCCTGGTTCCGGACCCACAGGCGGCCAGCTGTTCCCTGGGAGTCCCCGCACTTCTTAGCGGTCCCTTGGAGGCACAGGGGTGGGGCACAGGGAAACCTCCTCCACCCAGCTGGGGGCTGCCAGAGCCCCTGCCCACCCCTAAAAGGGGGCTTTCCCTCCCTGCACCAGCTGTGCAGGCACCCTCTTTACCTCTACAGAGGCAGGGCAGGAAATTGGGCCATGCCAGGACCAATTAAACCCGCCAGGGGAATTAAGGTCAGCAGGATGCAATTATGCTGTTGGGTTTAACAAGACCAGAGGGCAGGTTTCTCCAGCCAGAGTTCATGGCTCCTTAGGCCTCCTGCCCTGGATGGCTCTGCATTCCAGAAGCCTGCGCTCCCAGGGTCACCCATCTCTGAGAGAATTCCTCGGGAGTGGAGGGGTTAACTCCACCCGGGCACTGCTTCCCTGGCTCCTGGGAGGAAATTGATCCAGCCAAGAGGCTTTAAAAGGACCTGTTCAGAGGAGACATTTCCCGGCCTGACCCTCTCCCGGCTCGTCTGTGATGGAAAATCCAGGGAGTTGAGCAATGACCTGACTCCAGGGAGCAGCCAGCCAACTCCCCTCACAACTTTCCTTTGGTCCTGAAACGGGAGCCGCTCAGGGCTGTCTTCTGCCCTCTCCCACCTTGGACCCCAGAGCCCGGGCCCGGGCAGAACCTCTCAGGTCTCTGGGAAAGCCCTGCAGAAGCCTTGTCTTTACAGCAGACACATGGCTGCTAAGCGGAGGTCTGTGGACACTCTGTGTGACAAACTGGATGTAGATTTCTCTTGGAGCTCAAATGACATACTGTTCTGTCCCAGAATTGTCGAGTTTTATTGCTAAGATTATTTACCGAATGCTCTACTCTGTGGCCAGGACTCAACTGGTCACCTTAGGGACACAGAGATGAAGTTGAGGAAAAGCTATAGAATCATCACCCAGTGCATTTTAGGTGAAAAAAGATTGTAAAATCATTCATGAAGTAGGATCCTTTGTTGTTAAAAACATTTATAGAGAAAATATCTGGAGGGATATAAATATACATATTAACAGGTATGGGAGTGGAGATGATTTTCATTCTGTGTCTGGATTTTCCTTTTATTTTTTTAAATGACCCTTTGTAACTCTGAGCAGATTAATAACTAGAAACATATCACTGTGGAATCTGTCTCAATGACCAGCATTTCGGGTGGTTTTCACGCACACCCATGTTTGAGAACCCCCAGTCAGAGGGCCAGCTTTGAGGCACTCCTGACAGAGTCCGACCTGTGCAGCTGGCAGAGTACTTCCAGGTCACATATCCCCTAGGAGCCTGGGCATGCTTCTCACACCTGATGCACATGGGAGGTGCCTGGAGAGCTCTTACCGCTCCGGAAGCCTGAGCCCCTCCTGAGCTCAGACCAGTTCCAAGAGGGGGGCCCAGAATGTTGGTATTTTTTAAATCTCCCCGGAAGATTCTGCTGTGCAGTCAGGGTTGAGAGCCACTGCTCTGAGGCTCTCCCAGGGCAGGGAATTCACCTTGTTTCCCTGGAGTGCCCCTACAATGTAGGGTAAAGCAGTGCACATGCAGGTGCTCTGTTCTGGCTTGCTGTATTGACTGTGCGCACTGTCCCAGTATCTGGGGCTCTAGAGATCCAGATGGCAGCTCCAGACAGACAGAGACCATGCTGGCCAACTTTGTATCCCAAGGACCTAGTGCGGAAAGGGGTGCTGCTGTTAATAGTAATAGCCACTAGGATTTATTGTGTCTTTACTATGTGCTAGACACAGGTATTATCTCCTTTACTCTTCATAGCAAACTTATGAGGTAGATACTATTATCACTCTTATTTCCAAGAGGAAACTGAGGCACAGAGGAGTAACCCGCCCAAGGTTTCAGGGAGAGTCTTCCAGTGGGGCTGGAATTTAAAGCCAAGCCCAACAGGTGTGGGAGTGGAGTCTGGCTCCAGAACCCTCGTGCTTAATTACTACTCCACACCCCAAAGAAAATGCTGGCTGAAAAAGGAATTCGTGAGTAAGTGAAGAATACTTAGACTATGACATCAACTTGGTAGCTCCAGGGCCTGACATTCAGTAGGTGCTCTGTTAATGTTGAAGGATAAATGCTCCTACTTTGGTAGGGCCTGGGACAATGGGAAACCAGACCAGCCTCTCCTTCACTCTTCTCCCTCTCCCCCATTCCAGCCCAACTTCTCTGCAGCATAAACAGCAAAGCCAAAAATAGCTATCTAATGACGTCAGAGGAACAAGGTCATCTGAAAATTGCCAAGGGCCACTGGACACCTCCCTATAGGATCAAGTAGCA